AATATAATTGAAGTTGTCGTGTTCATTACAGAGATGTGACCCTTGAATCAAAGTGAATGCAGTCATATAATCTAGTGAGTTTGCCTACAAACCGTTCTGCATACGTGATCAAGTGTTGAAAGTAGAATAGTCTAGAATCTTGCAATGTATTATAGCTAGGTATTTAGTCATAGGATGAGCAGAAATAAGATAAAGATCAAAACTAAAGTTTGTCCGTCATAACAACACTAATGCTAATTAGTCTGTCCTTTACCTTTGATAGCATTAGGTCATCGCTCAGCGATTAACTTGTCATTTAATTTTGAACTTTAAATCGTATGTCGCATGACATATTTCATAACGTCAATATGAAGAAGCTGTAAGAGCAACGCGCGCGCGCCGACGGCGTGCTTACAACCTTCTTAAGTGTGTGATAAATTATATCGTGTATTTTCCTGCTTTGTAACTCTTTTTTGTTGTGATGGCCCGGAGGTTTAAGACGCCCGCATCTAATGAGAGTGCGGGTTCGAAACCTACCAACGTCAAGTACCAATGTGACTTTTTCCGAGTTATATGTACTTTCTAAGATTATTGAGATACAACTGACAAACGGTGAAGGAAAACATCGTGAGGAAACCTGGGCTTATAATTTCTAATTATAAGTTTGAAATCGCCAACCTGCATTGAGCAAGCGTGGTGATTAATGCTCAAACCTTCACCGTGTGAGAAGAGGCTCAGCAGTGGGCATTATAGGCTGTTAATGTGTTCGTTTGTGTAACTATTTTTAAAGATAACTATTGTCGTGAAAATATTGAATAAGTGTACATACATCTACAATCATTCTACATAGATGTAGTTCCATAAATACACATTAAATATATAAAAATATATTGGTTATGGACAAGGATTAAAATATACGTACATAGACACCGATATATAACTTTAATATCCACGCATAAGATTACGACCTCGGTTGCTCATTAACGAAGGTCTAGGTAGACCTATGCTCGCAATTATTTTATAATGAGCAAAATGAAGCAGGGAAGGCAGAAGAATAAATTTATATAAATATAAATAAAACACCCAAGTTCATATAAAAATAATGACTCCCTGTTGCAACGTCAAAATATTAACTAACAAACTATTAACATTTTGTCATATAAAACACAATTGCTAAATACTATATCACTAATGTCGGAATACTGAAACGCTACCTACTCAATTTTAAGTCGCGCTTAAGTATAGTTCTGTCGCTACAAATTCTTTGTAAAGTGACAGAGATGGCACGATATTTAAGCACGACCTAAAATTGAGTAACGTTTCAGTATTCCGGCATATGATATTATGTATTCACCCCTAAAAAGATTATGCTCCATCCGAACCTCACATGGCCAACACCCATTCACACTGCTTTTTTAAGGAATAGGAGGCAACGAGATCACCTGATGGTAAGCGATCAGCGCCGTTCTCCGCCGCCGATCATGGACACTCGCAACACCAGAGGAGTCACAGGTGCGTTGCCGGCCTTTTAAAAAGGAATACACTTTTTTCTTGAAGGTTATTGAAAACTGCATCAAATTTCTTGAGTTGCATATTTCACCTCATACATATTTTTAGCATCATAAAATTATATATTTACATTGGCCACTCAATTCTGTTTCGGCTAGCTGTCAGATTGTTTGTGATAATAATCGATTTATAACAAACAAACGATGTTTGTACGGCTATAGTCTAAGAGCTACTGAGGGCTAAGCACGAATAACTATCGCATTCGTATCGTAACAGTATCGAGCAAGTTAAGCGTTCTGATTGGTTGGTTCACTTGAGCCGGCCAATCAGAGCGCCGAATGCGATACTATTACGTTACGAATGCGATAGTTATTCGTGCTTGGCAGTCTGAACTTTCCAAATAAAGTTCATTCTAATTTATTATGTTTTCAGCTTACTCACGTAATTATTTAACGAGGAACTCGATTAATTTCAAACCATGCTAGAGGCTCAGTAGTACCGCGACAGTCGCCGCGTCACTGGTCGCGAAATGCTGCTCATGAATATGAGCCTCTAGCATGGCTTGAAACTAGTCGTGTTCCTCGTCAAATGATTACGTGAGTAAGCTGAAAACATAATAATTTATTTCGTATGTCACACGAAAGTATACAAATAAAGTTCATTCTATAAGACTAGTAATTTTTCTGATGATGATTTGTAGCACGCTAAGAGCAATAGAGTCTCGGGTTTGATTCCCGGGTCGGGCAAAGTATTACTGGGTTTTTAAAAAACCTCAATAGTAGCACGGAGTCTGGAAATCTGCCCGGTATATGGCAATAGGCTCACCCCCTATTACATGGGACTTATAACATAAACAGTGAAAAGTGGGTGTTACATTGTACAGTGGCATTAAGTGCTGTAATGTGCACCTCTGCCTACCCCTTTGGGAATACAGGACAAATTTTATTCAAAGGGTTCAGTAGCTCTTAGACTACAATGCAGCAGTAGGTGGCGGATTGAATTTAGAAGGATTTATTTGCTAAACGAATGCGATTGTTGCTTCTGCAGACGATTTTGGTGCGTTCATGTTCTAAAAATAGCGATTTAAAGTGCTTTTTGCTTTATTTTTGGTTTGCGGAGTTCGTTTTTGGATTGTTGTTGTGAGTAATAATTTGACGGTCTTAGTAACGAGTTCTGTAGTGGATTCTTTAGTTAAGAGTGTATATTACAGTTATATATTACTAGCTTTTACCCGCGGCTTCGCTCGCGTCACAAAAGGATAAAAGTAGCCTATACCAATACACACAGCGCCATCTATACCTACCAATTCTTTTGTTTTCCCTCGGGAATACCAAAATTTTCCGGGATAAAAATCCGGCCTTCTAATTTTACGTCTGCAAAAATTCAAGGCAATCGGTTTAGAAGTTACAGCGTGAAAGCGGAACAAACAAACAAACTCACTTTCCGATTTATAATATTAGTAAAGTAAGGATAAGGATTGTGACCAAGGACCTTTTGAGTCAAAGTAGTATCATTCGTCAAAAATATATTTTCGACCATCTAATTGGGTATTTTCCTGGGTCAAAAATACATTATTTTGATTTTTTAATCCAATGAAATATTCAAAAATAAATACAATTTCATTCATATATTTGAAGATATACTTAATTTTCGATGTATTCTAACGATTTTTTCAGAAATAAGTGTGCTATTAGACTCGAAAATATGATGACGTCATAAGTTAGTTTTTGGTACAAAATTCATAGAACAATGTCGTTTTTGACGTTTCGATAAAAGTATTGAATTTGATTAGTTGTAAAATACCGTATTGAAACTTTTTATAAAAGATGAATTGTTTGGGTAAAGTTGTAAACATATTAAATTTTATTGGTTTCTTACTCGATATACGTCTCAATATACTCTAGAAGATATCAACATAATGAATGTTTGACAAAAATAAATATACAGTGACTTTCGTTGATCGAAGCACTAGGTAATCCTCAAAACATTTGCACTATACTCGGAATTTTAATTCGATTCCAGATTTGACAATTTCAGTGTGGCAACGTTATGACAAGTACTAAATAGTGACGTTGCGAAATTATTCGATATGGAAATGAAATATTTCTGGATCGATTCTTCTCGTTTATAATAATTATAATTTTACTCTCGTGAACTAAGTTTATCAGGAAATTAAATATTTCTGAACCGATAATTTAGGTTTGACGATTAATTAACAATCTGAGACGTTTCTTTTATAATTGTGTGTGAAATAATTAAAAAATGTTATCTTGAAGGAACATGACAAATAAAACAGAGTACAGTATTATGGTAATAAGTTATTTTATAAATTGTCGCCGTCATCGCTTTCGCTATCCTGTCACTTTCTGTAACATTTATTATAAAACACACACACTGATTGTTTATCGATTTTTGTGTGCATCACTACACTATTATATGTGGTATCATTATTTCACAAAATGACAGTAGCTATTGTCAAATCTGGAATCTAATTAAAATTCTGACTATAAGTATTATTTAAGGAAAATTAAAATACAGCTTGCAAATTGGTTATGTTATAGTAATTTATTATTACAGGTATATAACACTAATAGTGGTTCTTATTAATTAAAATAATAACATCACAGACTTAAACAAACGCAGATTTAATAAGTAATCGATGGTTCATGTGGATACTTTGTAACTGGAGTACTTCTTTATATTCTTATAGTCTCGACTGAAATAGAAAAAAGGAAAATTATTAAAACAGTTTAATTAAAACTACAAATCAAGTTTAATGACTGCCTCGTTTGTCTAATAGTCGCAATTGCGAGTGCCGTGCAAGGGGTCTTGGATTGGGTCGGGCAAAGTATTACTGGGTTTTTTTAAATCACAATAGTAGAACGGAGTCTGAAAATGTGCCCAGTATATTGCAATAGACTCACCCCCTATTACATGAGACTCATAACATAAAGTGAAAAGTGCGTATAGAATTGTACCGTAGCATTAAGTGCCGTATTGTGCACCTCTGTCTACCGGGGATAAAAGGCGTGATGTTATTTACGTTATGTCAAGTTTAATAACGTAATAGAATAGGACTAATAACATAACAAAAGCACCAAAATAAATATCAAAAGACCTTCTTTTCAAAGGATGACAGAAGTGACGCCCCCATTACTTCCGAACCAAAAAAATTACCCTCCCCTTCATTAATCTCCCTAAACTCCTAATCCCCAAAAGGCCGGTAACGCACTTGTAACGCCTCTGGTGTTCTAGGTGTCCATGGGCGACGCCGATTGCTTACCATAAGGTGATTCGACAGCTCGTTTACCGGCTTAGGCCATAAAAAATCTGAGCAGTCTAACTAATAAAACTCGCATTCAAAATTTATTGGGCAGAACATAGCTAGAGACTTTTAAAATTGCCCGCGAAGATTGGCCAAACATTTGTTTTTGGTCAAAAGCCAAAGATTGTTTTTGGCCAAAGATTGGCCAAACAAGATTGGCCAACAACAACAAATCAAGTGCTACAAATCAACTCACCTCTGATCCAGTGTGGATGGCCAACACCATGTCAAACTCGTTGGCTCCAAGAGAGATGTGAGCGCGACCGTCGTTGCCAACAGTGACACGCTTGCCAGTGCAGTTGTTGCCGCTCTTCTCACCAGAGATGACGTCACAGTAAGTACCAGCAGGCAGGCAAGTCTGTATAAAGAAAGAAAATTTAGGTAAGTGTATGAACTTAACTATATAAACACATTTAGGTAATTTTTAAAAATTGGGCTGCCTCGTTGGCCGAGTGGTTGTAAGTGCGACTGCCGGGAAAGGGGTCTCGGGTTCGATTCCCGGGTCGGGCAAAGTATTACTGGGTTTTTAAATATTCTCAGTAGTAGCACGGAGTCTGGAATTGTGCCCGGTATATGGCAATAGGCTCACCCCCTATTACATGGGACTCATAACATAAATAGTGAAAAGTGGGTGTTACATTGTACAGTGCCTACCCCTTCGGGGATAAAAAGGAGTGATGTTATGTTAAAAATTGGTTTTATAACATACCTGGAGGGTCTGGTTCAAGTCCCAGTAGTCATTGTTGAAAGCAACGAAACCAGCGTTTCCTCTGCAGAAAGCAATCTGGTTGCTACCGTTGTCCCACCAGTTGGACATAGCGCTGTTGCCAGCTTGGTTTCTGAAGGCAACCATGCTGTAAATCTGGCGCCAACGGTGCTCACAGATCCATCCGTTACCGCAGCTTTGGTCCTGAAGAAATGAAGGAAGTTAAAAATAGTATGAAATGTGTACTAATTTAACTCTCTTGTATTCCATAAAAGGTCTAATTTGTCTACTATATGTATGAAGTATTTTTTTTTAATAATAAATAATAAATTGAATTTCTCCACGGATTCGTGTCCGTGCCCTTGTCATGTTATAAGTACATAGTTAATTGTCATGGACAAATATTTTTTTTTTATAAATATTTTACATGGTACGGCTACCACTATCACTACACACAATACTTTATGTTGTTACCTATGTGTATGTATGAAGTATTGAAACTTACAGAGTTGATAGAGGGAGAGATGATGTTGCCGCTGCTGTCCATTGGGGGTCCAGCCTCAGTGTCGTGGAAGTCGAAGGAGCTCATCAGCTGTGGCCAGCCGTAAGGATGGGCCAACATGAAGGCAATAGCACCCTTGTACTGTTTAGCTTGCTTGTAGGTAAGGATGTTTCCACCGGCACCGTGACCTCTTTGGTTGTCGTGGTTGTCAATGAAGGTAAGAGAGTCGCCAGAAGCAAGAAGACCCCATGCAGGTCCCCAGTTGACCAGCCATCTGAGTTGGTTTCCACGGTTGAAGGCTCGGCTGAGTTCCATACCGAATTTGAACTCTGTGACTGCTGCAAGAGAAGTGTACTCATCGCGGGAGATAACTTCACCACCAAGATCAATGACTTCCTGGTAGATGTATGGGCGAGCGCCAGAGGGGAAACCGTGGGCAGTGTTGAGGTTGTGTAGCCTGTCGTAGATGACACGCAAATCGCCGGGCCACATGTGTTTGGCAGCGTCAATTCTGTCGGTAAATAGAATCAAGTTCATTGTAGAAACAAAGAAATGTAACTGCCTCGTAAAGTTACTCTTTACTGTTAAACAACTGGTCAATGAGAATACAAATGACATTTTACCTGAATCCAGCAACACCCAAGCTGATGAGATGGTTCATGTAGTTCACAATCATTTGACGGACGTATTCAGTACCCTGGTTCAAGTCCTTCAGACCAGACAGCTCGCAGTTACGTACCTATAACAGGATAAATAAATTGTAGAAACAAGAAAGTAATCAAGTATCACATTTAGTATACATATATTCATCCAAAACACCAATGATAAAGAAATTTGCGGATCCTACATTCTGAGTAATCGATTTTGCGTCTTATTGTCCATCACATCGAAACTAATGCTAATAAGGAAAACGGCTAATAATACTTAAAAAAAAATTACCCTATCAGCGCAGCAGCCGTAGTCATGGCCTTGAATGACACAGTGGGGCCAGTTGAAGTCGTTCCTGCCGTAAGGCACGCCAGGGTAGTGCCAGTTACCGAAGTCAGCGGTGCTACCACCGGTACCAGTGTTCTCATTCCATGTGCCCGTCATGTGGTTGATGATGGCATCGACGTAGATTCTGTAAAAAAAATAGATAATTTAACAAATATAATTAACTAGCAACCCGCTCCGGCTTCGCACGGTTTCAATATTCATGTATTATACATATAAACATTCCTTAAGAATCACTTTATCTATTAAAAAAACCTCATTAAAATCCGTTGTGTAGTTTCAAAGACCTAAGCATACATAGTGATAGGCAGACGGCGGATAGCGACTTTGTTTTATACTATGTAGTGATGAAAGAATTTGTTAAGTCTATTAGTAACAGATTCATCTCCAGTTTGGTAATGATCCGGATTCCTTAGCATTATAATTGATGATTATCATCAACTGATGAACTAAGGACATAGAGGAACTTAAGTCCTTTCTTAACGGTGATATGATATCACTATAATGATGAAACTTCTCATAACTAAATAACTAACTAATAAGAAAGTATACATCCTTGCTTAACCCTGTGTAATTATTACAACGTTGATAATAATGGATAAACTAAGCATCGTTACTAATATTATAAATCGGAAAGTGAGTTTGTTTGTTTGTTCCACTTTCACGCCGTAACTATTAAACCGATTGCTTTGAATTTTTGTAGGCGTAAAGTTGAAAGTCCGGATTAAATAATAGGGTACTTTTTATCCCTGAAAAATTTGATATTCCTGAGGGATAACAAAAGAATTGGTATAGATGGCGCTGTGTGTATTGGTATATGTCACATAGGCTACTTTTATCCTTTTGTGATGCGAGCGAAGCCGCGGGTAAAAGCTAGTATAAAAATATATCAAGGTTTAGAACTAACCTGACACCAGCGTCGTTACATCTTCGCACCATGTTAGCGAACTGCTGTTCATTACCGGAGCGGGTGACCAGGCGGTAGGAGATGGGCTGGTAACGTTCCCACCAAGGGCGTTGGCGAGACCAGATAGCCAGGTTCTCATTTGGAGGAGAGATCTAGAAGGAAAATTGAATATATTACTACAAAAACTCATTTCTTGTAACTTTTTGACGATTAAAATATTACTGACTGCCATGCCTCATTGGCCGAGTGGTCGCAAGTACGACTACCGGGCAAGGGGTCTCGGGTACGATTCCCGTGTCGGGCAAAGTATTACTGGTTTTTTTTTAATCTCCGCAGTAAACCGGAGTCTTGAAATGTGCCCGGTATATGGCAATAGGTGCACCTCCGCCTACCCCTTCGGGGATAAAAGGCGTGATGTTACCCTTATGCTAAAACATTAGAGACTTCTTGTCGGAAACCAGATGTGAAGATCAGACGTCTGCTATCCAGAACACTTCTTCTCTTATCTTCTCTCTTCCTTTGAAGAGATGACTAACAGTAGGTAGATATTTAATGACTTTGGTGTCGATAAATCTTATTAGGCTTCGAAGTAATATCAGCTTAATGCTATCGATAACTGATTCATTTATTGATACTGTCATGGCGGTAATCTTCAATACTGCACCTACTGTTATAAAAATTAATACATGATATGACTTGTTAAAAACAGAGATTGGTGGTCGTTGATAAAGGTGTAGATTGGTCATCTACTAAGAGCCGTGGCATATCCACGCAATCGATAAATAGTTTGATAAAGATCTTAGCGTTGTTTTTAGGCTTATTTTTGTGTTTTTAAGTGACCGATACCGATACCTATAAATACTGGTCTACTCAGTATGCTGGTCTTTGATAGGATTCTATTTTTGACTTTTTGCAATTAGCTATTCTTAGTAGGTAACAATAAAGTTTAGAATGAGACCTCGTATGTATTTGCTATAGCCCCAATCCAGTTCAACATCATGAGTACAAAATATGAAGCACTTTCTGTAGCTTCTATAGGAAAAAAAATTATACATTTTACAAAAATAATGATTTTTTTCTTCTTACCTGAATACCACCATATCCTCTGGGTCCTAAGAACCTCTCGCACTCACTCGCGATGTCATCCCACTTCCATTCAAACAGATGAACCATAGTCGAGCGGCCCGATGCATAGTGAGGGTTTTTGTAGGCCAGTGCCAGAGTCACCACGGCCGTCAGGCATAGGATGAGCCGAAACATCCTGGACAACCAGAAAATAATAATCAAACACTGGTGTATATGGCTAACGAAACTAAAATGATTTTTCGATCACGTTTAATGGACAAATGTTCTCAAATGAGATCATGGATATTGGACATGAACTGCAATGAAATTGATACGTTGTTTGAAAGCGAATAACATGATAACTAGCTCGTATCTCTGCCTGATATACCTATAAAAACAGTTTTTGTTACATTAAAGTATATTGAACTCCGAATCACTATTAATTCATCTAATAAATGTAGAAAATAGCGTCCACTACTTCGCAGTAAAATATTAAAAAAGCAGGTGATAAAAATGACAATCTTTTAATTATTATTTTATGCTAGCCGCAATGGAAATGACACGTTCTAATGTCGAAGCAAGACGATACTAAAACAATCCCTGAGAAATTGTATTATTTGTATTCAATAAAACACTTTATATTGACTAAACTAAGGTACACAATTAAATTGTTAATCCACTACCTATTTAGTATTTTAATCACGATATTTTGTTTGACGTAACTAAACAATACTTTTATCAAGAGACTATGTAGTTTGAAATGAGAGAATTGTAATGATAATTTCCTCCGCCCGTATAGAAATACGTATTAAGTAGGTATAATATTGTGTCACAGAAATGACGCATAGATGTAATAGTTGCAGTGTTTCTTGTGGCTATGTGTGAAATAAAACCATTTAAAAACTGATGAACTATAACATAAGTTTGATATTTTTTACATTATCCAATTAATATAGAAATTAAATTCAACAGCCTATAGGCGGCCACTGTTGACATAAAGCCTCTTCTCACATGTAGAAGATAGGACCATTAATCACCACACTTCCTTAATGCAAAAATGGAAATTTAAACTAGCAAAAAATCCAATTATGTACAATTTATTAATGTTTAATTCTAAATTTTATTATTAATGCATGAAATAAAACTAATATAGCTTAACAGCTGCTATTTCAAAGCCACCTATTCATTACATACTGCGAAATGCAGTGAGATAAATGCAGTATAAAACCAATGATGGTCTTTCACTAATTTTCGAAAAATATCTTTTTAAATAACTGAAAATTAGTGATGTGATAGTGGGATAGATGTCCTATAGAGTAATTTAAATGGGACTCTACTACACCATAATATAACAAAGAGGATTGCAAATGAAAAATGTATAAAATAGTAATAAATTGACTTACCTTACGCTTTATACCCCTTAGTGCACTATAACAGAAGATAGAAAAGTCTGCGTTGGCCCTCCTACTGCGCCCACACTTATATACATCGAGATAAAAACCTCGGTCTACGACTTATATCTATATTATCTTTTAATTATTATAATCTTTGATAAAATGTTCCAAAAACAATAATAATCTAAGATTTTGTATGATGATTGTTATTGTACTTAAGATTCTTGGACATTATATAATTGTTTGTAGTAGAAAGTTCTAAAATACATACAGATTTTAATTATTTATGATATCTGATTTGCATCAACGAGGTTGCATGATAGTGCAATTAGGTGTTTTAATGACATTTATCTACAAACTAAATAACAATATTAATTAATGAATGTTTTTACTCACATTTCCAATATAGGTAAATAAGTACTGGATTATTTTGTTTCTTAATCTATAATTACCGCATTTTGTTTTCGTAAATTATTGTTGTTATTTTAAATTGAATTTTTGACATTGGTAGACGTCCAAAACCGTAGTTTCAGAAATTTTTTTAAGATATTATTGTGAGCGTTAGTCGTAAGATTTTAATCATTTTATTCCGAATGAATAAGGTAAGGTTATTTTTTTTTCTTCTTCGGCAATCGAGTCTCCAAAACGATCTTGTCGACTATACTGCCAGTGTCGAGTGGTGACGGCAGTTTAATGAACCGTCGAACTTAACTTTGAGGTAGTTTTTAGTTATTAGTAGCTGAAAGGACAAAATGCGTTTGTTTGCTAAAATTATGTCATTTCTGACAATCTATATATATAAAAATCAATGCCACTTTTCGTTGTAATTCCATAACTCAAGAACGGGCTCACCTATCCAAACCAAATGCTTAGGATTTGGTCGGCATATTTAGTAGATGGTTTATGTGAAGTTTGCACAAAATCGGTCGAGCGGTTCCTCATTTGTCACATTTTTTGTAATAAATGAATTCAATAGAAACTTTTTTCACAGAAACTTTTTTGAAGTTTTGTTGACAGGACAAGCACGTTGTTATGTCATTCATGCCGTCAGTTCATTTTGGACGTGGTTTGATTAAAGCATATTATCAGCGATAAATTTCTTTTCACATAATTGTATTTGCAGTGCATTCATACAAACGGTGAGTCCTGAATTTATGTGTAACTTTTCTAAGTTGCCGTATATGATTTCACATAGCATCATATGCGACAGCTTCTTGGGAATTTTTTTTTTGTTCTAATTTTTTTTTTCGATTTTTAAGCGAAAACATATGTGCATACGGGAAAAATGCCACCAGCCAGACGAGCAAATATAGGTCGGCGAACGCGTAATGCAAATGATGTGGCATTACTAAGACGATCACAGACTGCAGATGAACGCGCACAAGCTAATGCATCGCAGCGTGAACGTAATGCACGCAATGGATTTGTTAACCCAGTACCTGTACTGAATCTTGCACGGCCATCACGAATACGTCGTGCTGTTTTGGCTGAAATGATCGTGCTGCTTTTAATTACAACAGTCAGATTGAATATTATGTATGGATACATTGGAATGATGGACGCAATATGTCCACATTGTGATGCGGCTAACTTTCCAGGTGAAACGCCCGGCATGTGTTGTGCTAATGGCAAAGTGAGATTGCCAGCATTAGAAACTCCACCCGAACCATTGTATTCATTTATTTTTGGGACATCGCAAGCGTCGAAGCACTTTCTGAGTCATATTCAACAATACAATTCGGCATTTCAAATGACTTCTTTGGTGCAACTAAATTATTAGAGATAATTTTATGCCGACGTTTAAGGTAAATACTTCACAGGATTATTCCATGTTTGTATCAATCTGAAGCATAAAGTATATTTAAAAAAAACTGATATAAGATTTACCTAAAATTGTATACATGTTACAGATTCAGGGCCAGATTTATCATCAAGCTGGTTCGTTATTGCCATACCCCGACGCTGATCATCAATTTTTGCAAATTTATTTTATTGGTGATGAAAATCGTGAATTGGATCAACGTTGTGCAATTGTTTCGAATACAAGACGAGAAATTATTCGTGAGCTACAAAGGTTTTTCCATCAGCATAACGCATTAGTTCAATTGTTTAAAATTGCTCTCGATCGTATGCCAACTGATAATCACAAAATCGTAATAAGAGCTGATAGAACACCTTTGGAGAGCATGCAAGGCGATTTAATGCACCAACAATTGATGAGGTTGCAATTGTAATTCTTGGTGATCAGTTTCAATCCCGTGATATTGTACTTCATCGTAGAAATGAGCAATTGCAACGTGTTTCGGAACTTCATCGTAGTTACGATGCATTACAGTACCCAATATTGCATTGGAAAGGTGACGATGGTTACCATATCAATATACCAATGATTGATCCACGAACAGGTAAATAATTGACCTATTTTTAGTGTGTTGACATTTCATTTCTACAACTTTCTAAAGTCACATTTTGTAATTATTTTCAGGTCTACATATACAGAAAAAAGTTAGTGCCATGAATTTTTATTCGTATCGATTGATGATTCGTCCACAAGAACAAAATTATATCTTAAAATGTGGTAAACTATATCAATGAATGAATTATCCAATTGTATTTTTAAATTCATTGGAGCCGGCTGGTATGCCACCGCATTGCTTGAATCTGAAAGTTGGTTCTTCGATTATATTATTGCGAAATATTAATCCACCAAAACTGTGTAACGGAACCAGATTGGCAGTGAAAAAGTTATTGCCAAATTTGATTGAAGCTACGATCTTAACTGGTAAATCAAAAGGAGAAGTTGTTTTGATACCGCGTATACCTATGATTCCAACTGATATGCCTTTTGAGTTCAAACGTTTACAATATCCTGTGCGTTTATCATTTGCGATGTCCATCAACAAGGCCCAAGGTCAAACACTTCACGTTTGTGGTGTGAATTTGGAGGAACATTGTTTTTCACATGGCCAGTTATATGTTGCCTGTTCCAGAGTCGGTACCCCCAGCCGTTTGTTTATTTATGCTCAAAATGGAAAAACAAAAAATATTGTTTATCCAAATGTTTTGGATTAAGTGTGTTGTAAATAGCTAGCAATTGATTTCGATTTTAAATAAAATATTTTTTTGATTAAATAAATGAATTTGATGTTCCGATTTGTTTATTTTATTTCACTTTATACGTAGCGAAGCACGTACCGGGCCGCTAGTTAGCTATGAATTGAGATTTATCATGATCATCATCATGAACGGCCTGAAACAGTGTGTTTACCGTAATAAATAAACTAATTAACTAACGTCTGAAATTATTTTTTATTCGTCGTCCGATTATTATTAATTTGGACCGTTAGAAGACTCTTACCTACACAGAAATATTATATCTGTGCTTACCTACGATACGTCCACACTGCTCTGCAGTACCTACATAGCTGCAAATTTAGTTTGACAAGGGATAAAACTTTATTTTTTTTTTGAAAATGTATCTTGCAAATTAGGTAGGTACTTTTTATGAAGACAAAAATGTTGTTACCCTGAAGCAACGCTTGCGTTGTGTTTCGTCGTGTGAGTGAGGTTACCGGAGGCGCATTACCCTCCCCTTCCCCAATCTCCCCAATCTCCCCAATCTCCCCAATCCCTGAATCCCCAATGATACTCAAACTCCTAATTCCCAAAAAGCCGGTAATGCACTTGTAACGCCTCTGGTGTTCCAAGTGTCCATGGGCGATGCCGATTGCCTACCATCAGGTGATCCGTCTGATCGTTTACTGACTTATGGCATAAAAAAGCCTTTGCAAATTGTATGTCAATAAAATACAATTATTTATTACATTGATTATTTAATTATTTCATTGATATACCATAAAAACTGGCTCCATAGCGATTTGAAATATAGATAATAAAGTAAATACACTTATCCATTTTTTTCAGTGGAACAAGGACTTTTTATTATTTTTAAGTAAGTATATCTATTAAACACGGTAAATTATAAAAAAGGAAGGACATATAAACAATTAAAAAGATATTCACTTGTGTACAAATGATACTTGTGTAGACTGAGGTCTTGGGTTCGGGCAAAGTATTACTGGGTTTTTTTAAAAATTCTCAGTAGTAGCACGGAGTCTGGAATTGTGTCCGGTATATGGCGATAGGCTAGGATACCCTATTACATGGGACTCATTACATGGGACTCATAACATAAATAGTGAAAAGTGGATGTTATATTGTAAAGTGCATAATGTACACCTCTGCCTACCCCTTCGGGGATAAAAGGCGTGATGTTATGTATGTATGTATGTACAAATTATACATAGAAGGTAATATGACGTAGGATAACTATTTAAAACTCAATTTCATTTATTGTAAGTCTATTCAAAATTACATAGGTAAGACTCTTATTTTATTTGGTATTGAATTTCTTCAAAACAGCAACAAGGCGTGATGTACGTACAGCATGCCCCTTAGTAGCCAGTTTGAATGTATGACTGCAAAAATGTAAAAACCACAGATTAACATAAAATATAATACTTAGGTAATACCATAATAGTTATAGTATAGTGCCTGCTCGTTGGCCGACTGGTCGCAAGTGGGACTGCCGGGGAAGGGATCTCGGAACAAAGTACTACTGGGTTTTTAAAAAATCTCAGTAGTAGGACGGAGTCTGGAAATGTGCCCGGTATATGGCAATAGGCTCACCCCCCATTACATGGGCTTATAACATAAATAGTGAAAAGTGGGTGTTACATTGTACAGTGGCATAATGTGCGTGATGTTATGTAGGTATGTGTCTATTCTGTATTATGAAAGGGTTTGGCATGATCAGATCATACGCTGTTGTAGTAATAATGATTTACTAATCAGCTGAAAACCATTTGAAACGCATATCGTTACGAATATATCATCACGCTCCTCTCCCATTGGGTAACTGTCAAATGACATGTTTCTGGGATATCTCCTTGGCTTCATCTACTTTCATCAATTTTTTCATGCATGCTTGTCCATTAAGGACGCTTCTCACCTTTTTTCAATAAATCGCCTATCTGGTTGAAGTGTGCCCGATTAGGTTAGGTTAATTCTCAAGCATTCTCGCTAGATACCTACTCTCTGCCGAAACTTTTTCGCAAATCTCCTAACATCTATCCTTTCAATATGACTAAACTATTCCATCGCAGATATGCGATAGGATAATACTCCCCAAAGAACGTCGAGTCGTGTGTTAATACGTGCTTTCTAGCATCATCAATAATAGCAAAAACACTAGACAAAACATCGTCCTATGTCAACATTAATCTTTATCGTACATTCATCAATATTGCGTCATATCATTTTATCAATAATGCCTAATATGGTAAATATGATAACCAAAAGATAATTAAGTAGGTACACCAATATCGATGCACGAAGAAAGAACGTGATTTTCCAAAATGATCTCTGATAATACCCAGTTGTAGGTACGCCACAACAATATCAAAACATTTCATGAACACTGCGTACTAAGGACAAAAGATTACGTGACAAAGGTCACAACATAATAGATTATAACACAACCGGATACGTTCTAAAATGGCTTGCTGATTATAAATATTGCATCTGTGAAAACAGATTGTTTTTACCTTGTTGGGCGAGTAATTAGAAATATCTAGAAAAGAGTTCGGTTACCTAGTAGTAGAAAAAATGACCTTATCCATTTTGGGTGTTCATAGAAATAGTCTGTAATAAGATAACCTTTTCTACTATATTATCATTATTATCAGCCTGTATACGTTTACTGCTGGACTTTTCCAATAACACGTCCCTAGTAATTACTAGTAGCTTAGATCGGTCTCCTTAAATAGCTGGAGAAAGAGTTTTCATTTATCGAATATCAGTCTAAACTATTATTTCTATGCCATACGTCGCATTTACAAAATAAACGCAAATTCTACCATCCGTTACGCCGTGCATTTTATTTTTACTATCGACGATGGATCTACCTATGAGCAAGCTGTTCACTCGGGACTTGAAGACACCCAAGATGTAATTTATAGGAAACACAGACTCCGGCAAAGAGTTCCATTCCATAACCGTTCTTATTTTCTTATTGGAACTATTAGCAAGTAAACATTTCAAGAATAGAAGAATACGAGTCTCTAACATGTCGAATTAAAACTAGTCGAATTCCTTGTCAAATAATAATATGAGTAAGCCGAAAGACATCACGAAAGTTATATTATAAATATTTTAAGAATTCTTGCTGAAAAGACTGCCTCGTTGGCCGAGTGGTCGCAAGTGCGACTGCTGGTCAAGGGGTCTCGGGTTCGATTCCCGGGTCGGCCAAAATATTACTGGGTTTTAAAAAAAATCTCAGTAGTAGCACGGAGTCTGGAATTGTGCCCGGTATATGGCAATAGGCTCACCCCCTATTACATGGGAGTCATAACATAAATAGTGAAAAGTGGGTGTTACATAGTACAGTGGCATAATGTGTTCCTCTGCCTACCCCTTCGGGATGAAAGGCGTGATGTTATGACGTTATGTTATTTTAAGAATAATTCTACTATAATTTTAGCTTTAGCACTAACCTCATCTCCAACATGTATAGCAAGATGCAGTTCTTCTCCGGTTCCAGATAATGTGATGACTGCTGTCCCAGTACTAGACACGGTCACATTCTTCCCAGTACAAACGCTTCCTTCCTTCTGACCAGATACTATGTCACAGTATACACCAGCTGGAAGTCCAGTCTGTGAATAGTTCGTTGTTTGTTATGGAACATATTTTATCCACTTTTTCAAAATGTGCTTCAATTGGGATGATGACAGGGTATGAAAATTAAAAATATAATTAGCCTGCAAGCTAAGTAATGAAAAAATATTAGACACGTATTCTTTTATTTCGTCATATAATAAAACAATACTTAGATAAAACGAATCAAAGTTTAGGAGTTGGGGCTAAAACGTCATTTCTACGTATAAAATGTACATAGAAGTGACGTCACGTGACATTTCAAAACAATATATCGTCGAAAGTATTCTTTTCTGTAAGAAAATAAACAAAACGTGTGTAATGATTTAAAATAATCTACCAGTAAGACATTAAAATAAAAATTAGGCATCTACCCTATTGTTTTTATTCCAAGACCAAAAGTATTATCTTATCTTATCTCTTATCTCTTATCTCTGGAAAGTCGAAGTGAGCTTTCTTATACCATGTAAGGTATCAATATCTTCTTAAATTAAACCATAAACGTTACGGACTTTTAAATAAAAATAAACAATGTGTTAGTCATTTTAAGAGTAGCTATTGTTTTTCCCAAAGTTATAGATTTATATGTAGAAGAATAACCATCGTAGTCTGGTCTACTACCAGGCTACTATACTAACCGTTAACTATAATGTGTGTTTATTCAAATATAAATAAAAGACTCGCTTCAATTTGTTTCATTCAAACCACCTTACCTGGAACTCCCTACTCAACTCGGTTCCCTCTGTGTTGAATACAATGAATCCTTTCTTCCCACGAGCAAATGCTATCTGATTTTTGGCATTATCCCACCAGTTTGTGACAGCAGTATTATGGACTTCGTTTCTGAATGCAACCATCCTGTATACGGGCGCCCATCGATGTTCACACACCCAACCTCCATTACACATTTGGTCCTAAATTCATAATGAAATAATATTAAGTAAAGCGCCTATATTTCTATACAACTTCTATAGTAAGAGCAATTATCGTCTATACTATTTTTTCCGCGGTGCGGTTTCACAATAACGAATAATTAAAAACCTAGACCGACATTCCAAGATCTTGTTTTTATCGTTTCAATAAATCGTACGAAACATAGCATAAGTTATAAGTCCTTTATGAGTCCTCCTAGTAAATAGCCTTCTATTACTATCACCCTGGTCCAATCAGAGTTTTACTGAAAGTGGATTTAAGGGTGATTGTCGACGTTGCGTTATTTTATGAATGGACTTACATCTACTCAACCGCAGACGTCAAGAGTTATTTTCAAGTTCAGAGTTAGTCACGTTCCACTCAGCAAGTTTAAACACCTCATGGGAAAAAGTCCTAGTTCTAACTGTGCAGAGTGTGACACTGGAGGATGTCCATCACTTACTGGTGGATGGATCAGGACGAAAGCTTGGAGAGAGGCTTTAAAACATATGTTTAGAATTAATTTATTAGATGTTGGCGTTATTCATAGTATATTGTCACTATCTTTATCCAAAGCCAAAGCTTTATCAAAATAGTTTTATATAAAATAGTTAATAAGAGTAGTATTTAAGTTAATGTAAGTTGTGTTAAATCTGATTAGGGATTGATAGGTCTGGCATGGTCTTTATGTGATCTAAATTAATAAAGATAGAAAAAAATCAGAGTTAAGATCCAAATAAAACCTAACAAATAAACATGTACAATAATGTACATTGTACACCACACACACATCGAGCTATGCAACATCAATTAACCATGGTCTGGTTTTGTATCATCAGGTCAGTTTATAGTGGTTTACTTAGCGTGATGTGTACCCGTTTGTATTCGTGCATTTCAAATTATAACTTTACCTCATTTATAACTGGAGACACAATATTTTCATCAGTATCAGCCGGTGGACCTTGATTAAAATCGGTGAAATAGAAACTGCTTGTCATTCGAGGTTGTCCATACGGATGGGCTAGGAGAAATGCTATCGCAGCCTGTAGTAGAAAAATAATTTTAAGACATCATACTTATACTATGTTAGAATTATATAAAATTTGATGTTTCATGGTCTTTTTTTGTTAGAACTTATCATTATTTGAGTAGTAGAGTAGTAATTGATAATCATTTTATCAATTTAGGTACATGACTTAATTTGTATCAGAAATTTTTTTTTTTTTATATTAGAATCTAATTTGACTTCGCAAGAAATAAATAAAAATATCAGTTGATCTACTCCAGTCATTATCGAGCATATACTCACTATATATACAGATATAGAAACATAATACTATAGTGATTTGATTTGATTCAGTGCTTAGCAACTCATCAAGCAATTCTTCTTTATTTACAAAGATAAGATTTATATCAGGGGCGCTTTTTCAATCAACATTTAATCCTTAGAGCCGAAACACATAACCGCGTTGCGTCGCCGCAACGCTAAAATCAGCAGTTTGCGTTACGGCGTTGCGGCACCGCAACACAGCGCTCGTTTCAGCATAGCAGAGTAATGTCTTCTTAATAACAAATAAGCAATAAGTTTTTCACGATGGTCCATGCCAGAGACACGTCTATCCACAATAAAAAATCATGAGGAACTGTTTATCCTACCGAACGACAACAAAACGCTCTTTTTCACGACGCCGCAACGCCGCAACGCATCGCAACGCAAACAGCCGATTTTAGCGTTGCGTTGACACAACGCGTTTATGTGTTTCGGTCCTAAACTTTAGAATACAATTGCCAATTGACAGTTTTTAGTATGAAGGAATTGTCAAATATTCAAACTTATTCGTCTGATAAAATCAAACTGACATTATGAAAATCGGCCTTTAACCTTATTTACCTTATACAAAGTTTCATTTTTGTAAGTCAGTATGAAGCCATTGCGCTGCGTATCGTGGTTGTCAACGAATACTACTGCATTCTCACTGGGCATCATATCCAGTGTTGTTGTTCCCCACGATTGTAAAGTTTTCAAAGGCTTTTGACCACTGAAAATTACCGCTAATTCCGATCCAGCCTATAAGATAAAAGATTATAAAAGTAGAGGTTCAAATTATATATTATAACCTGAATCTAATCTAAACAAATCTTATTTATCTTCTCATTCAAATATTGAATCATTTTAGTCGTCGTCAACAGCCTATAAGTGGCCATTGCTGACCAAAGGCCTCTCCTCGTACGGAGAAGGTTCGAGCATTAATCACCACGCTTGCTCAATGCGGGTTATTTTAGTCACTGTTTATGAATTATCCCTAATGGTCAAGATTTCTTCATGAGTCGTGTAAATCATTTTTAGACCCAGGACAGACCCTCCGAACATTATTAAGTACTGTGTGGGAGAGCCTTGCTTTGGCACGAATGACCCGGCTCGACCGGAGTGATCCTACGGACTTATAGAAAACCGACGTGAAACAATGCTTGCGTTTTGTTTCGACGTGTGAGTGAGGATACCGTAAGCCCAACCCCCCCCCCCCCCCCTCTCCTCAGCAAGCCAAATCCCTGAATCCCCAACAATTCTCAAATTCTTAATCCCCAGAAGCCAGTAACGCCTCTGGTGTTTCGGGTGTCCATGGGCGGCGCCGATTGCTTGCCATCAGGTGATCCGTCTGCTCGTTTACCGGCTTATCAAATAAAACCTACATTCTTTCATCCTCACAAGAGCTCTGTACTGTATCATTATTTTATACAAGAATTGTTATAACTACAACGCCAAGCAAATAACATAAAATTGTGTTAAACACTTACAATGAATTCCGTGACGTCTCCCATATCTTTATACTCTTCAAATTTTACTGTTCCATCTTTAGACACTTCCTGGTAAATGTAAGGTCTAGAGTTCCTTCGGAATCCATGATTCATGTTCAAATTGTTGAGACGTTTGTAAATCTCATTCAAGTCCTCTGGCCACATGTGCTTGGCTGCGTCCACTCTGAATAATATCATTAGATAATCATTGTACTTTAGGCGTTATTTTGCTACAAAATTTGACGACAGCTACTATTGAAGATACAAAGTTCAAAAGTGGCAATGAATTGTTAAATCTAATAAAATCGGATACCAATTTTTAGCATCATACTCTAGTTAACTAATGTCACTTTAGACTTATGCCTTGTTTACACGACGCTAGTAATTTAGTCGAGTAGTAAGTATTTAGTAGTTCTCTCTCACTTCGATTTTGGGACAGAAGCAAGAGAGAGCTACTGAATATTCGTTACTCGACTAAAATACTAGCGTAGTGTGAACAACATTAGGGCCGATTTTTTCAACCCCAAATAAATTTTAACCGTGGAATAACTTCGAATATTGGACAATTTTTCCATACTAAAAACTGTTAAATGTCAATTTCATTCTACAGTTAAGAATTAACTGACGATTGAAAAATCGGCCCTTAGAGAATAACGAGTTTAGTAATATAATGACGATAGCATTACCTGATACCAGCTGCACCAAGATCAATTAGGTTGTTAAGGTAGTCGATAATCTTTTGCCGGACGTAAGGCATTGTTTGATTCAAATCTTTAAGTCCTGAGAGCTGGCAAACACGGACCTATAGCATGAGAAAAATATGGAAAATTGTTCATTTAAAGGTGATCATTTTGAAACCAACTTTGATAGTTTCATGGTTGATGGTGATAAATGTGTCTGCATTCTTAAAGTGTCTGGATTTCTGTTTTGGGAATTGTTTTTTGAACTTTGCACAACTTGTGTTACATTTATAAGAAATGTTTTTTTTTTAATATCTTCTATAGATTTAGGGGCTTTTGGTCACAATACGACCACGCCAGCCCCATATAAGAAATAACATAACATAACATCACGCCTTTTATCCCCAGAAGAGGTAGGGAGAGGTGCATATTATGCCACTGTACAATGTAACACCCACTTTTCACTATTTATGTTATGAGTCCCATGTAATAGGGGGTGAGCCTATTGCCATATACCGGGCACAATTCCAGGCTCCGTGCTACTACTGCGAATTTTTTTGAAAACCCTGTAATACTTTGGCCGACCTGGAAATTGAACCCGAGACCCCTTGCCCGGCAGTCGCACTTGCGACCACTCGGCCAACGAGGCAGTCTTATTACTTATAATATAAAACTGAAGAGCTATTTAAAATCATTAATCATGGGACCAAGTATACAAGTATCTAATAAAAATCATAACTGCAGCTGGCTAGAGGACAAGAAATATTGTATTGTCCCATGGGAGAATTCAAGTCGTGATGGTGCTGGTTAAAATGCAATCTTTACACCTGAAATTGAATTATCATCCTTATACTTATTACAATAGAGATTAAATTCTCAATAAACCGTTAAAAATAAGTGTGTATAAAGCTATTCCAAGTTTACTAACCTCCGTAGCATTATTATAATCTTGAATGTCACAGACTGGGTGATGGAAATGTTCTTCTGTGTAAGGAACTCCTGGATATGACCAGGTATATGTGTCAGCAGTACTCCCACCGGTCCCTACACTTGATTCATAATCCCCTGTCATATGGTTGAATACAACGTCGACGTACACTCTGCGAAGAAATTTAATGGAAAGAACACATCAAAATCTATAAAATTGTTAGTCAAAGTCAAAGTCAAAAACATTTATTTCAATTAGGCCAGAATGGCAGTTTTGAACGTCAACAAAAACAAAAATTAAAAGTGAAGCTATTTGCTCATTCCAAGGTGTAGATTCCTATGGAGAAGAACGAGCAAGAAACTCCATAGGTTACTCTTTTTCAATCAGGTTCACAATACAATTTACTAGTTACATAGTTTTGCTGTTTGGATTGTGCGAGAACAATGTAACACTAAAATCCAGTCAAAGTGATCAAAAAAGAAAATAACCTTAAGGACAATAATATAATGTTAACTTTTAAAACTCCAGTTAACATTACCAAATGACTGGACTAAAGTCGAAACTAGAATTAAAATACAATAAAGTTCTACTTCTGTCTTACACATATTACCTGACTCCAACTTTGTTGCATCTAGTAGTCATGTTCAAAAAGTCAGCTGCATCCCCTGATCGGGTAACCAGATTGTACGACATCACTTGGTAGCGTTCATACCAAGGTCTTATACCACCATCGAGATGTATGACCAAATTTTCTGATGCTGGCGAGGTCTGTAAATTATTTCTAGCAATAATTTTTTATAAACTACGTTTTCAACCCCCTCATTGTTTGAAGTCGGTTAATTAATATGTATAAAACCTTATCTTAAGTGTAACAAACCCTTTTCTGTAAACTCCATAAAAATCAGTTCTGCCAATAAAGAGACAATTGCGCACAAACATAGATACATAAAGGACAAACTGAGAATCTCCTTTTTTTGCCTTCGGTTAATAAATGTAAATAGGTCCATTTAGGTGAGCCATGATTCAGCAAGAACCGGACGGCTCACTCAGGAGTGATGATACACTGGTCCCACAGATAATCGGTCAGAAACAACGCTTGTTTTCTTTAACAGAGCCTTCTTTTCTTTAACAGAAGTTAAAGTAGAGTAAAAATAGACTTCATATACAAATCATGTTATATCATTCATAACATACAAATCTAATCTACGCGTACCTGAACAGCTCCAAAGCCTTTGGGTCCTAGAAACCTCTCACATTCGTCTGCAATGTCCAGCCACTTCCACTCAAACATCTGCACGATGACGGAGCGGCCAGGCCATTGGTTGGTCTTGATGTAGGCCTCGCATGGAAAAATATGGAAAATTGTTCATTTAAAGGTGATCATTTTGAAACCAACTTTGATAGTTTCATGGTTGATGGTGATAAATGTGTCTGCATTCTTAAAGTGTCTGGATTTCTGTTTTGGGAATTGTTTTTTGAACTTTGCACAACTTGTGTTACATTTATAAGAAATGTTTTTTTTTTAATATCTTCTATAGATTTAGGGGCTTTTGGTCACAATACGACCACGCCAGCCCCATATAAGAAATAACATAACATAACATCACGCCTTTTATCCCCAGAAGAGGTAGGGAGAGGTGCATATTATGCCACTGTACAATGTAACACCCACTTTTCACTATTTATGTTATGAGTCCCATGTAATAGGGGGTGAGCCTATTGCCATATACCGGGCACAATTCCAGGCTCCGTGCTACTACTGCGAATTTTTTTGAAAACCCTGTAATACTTTGGCCGACCTGGAAATTGAACCCGAGACCCCTTGCCCGGCAGTCGCACTTGCGACCACTCGGCCAACGAGGCAGTCTTATTACTTATAATATAAAACTGAAGAGCTATTTAAAATCATTAATCATGGGACCAAGTATACAAGTATCTAATAAAAATCATAACTGCAGCTGGCTAGAGGACAAAATATTGTATTGTCCCATGGGAGAATTCAAGTCGTGATGGTGCTGGTTAAAATGCAATCTTTACACCTGAAATTGAATTATCATCCTTATACTTATTACAATAGAGATTAAATTCTCAATAAACCGTTAAAAATAAGTGTGTATAAAGCTATTCCAAGTTTACTAACCTCCGTAGCATTATTATAATCTTGAATGTCACAGACTGGGTGATGGAAATGTTCTTCTGTGTAAGGAACTCCTGGATATGACCAGGTATATGTGTCAGCAGTACTCCCACCGGTCCCTACACTTGATTCATAATCCCCTGTCATATGGTTGAATACAACGTCGACGTACACTCTGCGAAGAAATTTAATGGAAAGAACACATCAAAATCTATAAAATTGTTAGTCAAAGTCAAAGTCAAAAACATTTATTTCAATTAGGCCAGAATGGCAGTTTTGAACGTCAACAAAAACAAAAATTAAAAGTGAAGCTATTTGCTCATTCCAAGGTGTAGATTCCTATGGAGAAGAACGAGCAAGAAACTCCATAGGTTACTCTTTTTCAATCAGGTTCACAATACAATTTACTAGTTACATAGTTTTGCTGTTTGGATTGTGCGAGAACAATGTAACACTAAAATCCAGTCAAAGTGATCAAAAAAGAAAATAACCTTAAGGACAATAATATAATGTTAACTTTTAAAACTCCAGTTAACATTACCAAATGACTGGACTAAAGTCGAAACTAGAATTAAAATACAATAAAGTTCTACTTCTGTCTTACACATATTACCTGACTCCAACTTTGTTGCATCTAGTAGTCATGTTCAAAAAGTCAGCTGCATCCCCTGATCGGGTAACCAGATTGTACGACATCACTTGGTAGCGTTCATACCAAGGTCTTATACCACCATCGAGATGTATGACCAAATTTTCTGATGCTGGCGAGGTCTGTAAATTATTGCTAGAAATAATTATTTTATAAACTACGTTTTCAACCCCCTCATTGTTTGAAGTCGGTTAATTAATATGTATAAAACCTTATCTTAAGTGTAACAAACCCTTTTCTGTAAACTCCATAAAAATCAGTTCTGCCAATAAAGAGACAATTGCGCACAAACATAGATACATAAAGGACAAACTGAGAATCTCCTTTTTTTGCCTTCGGTTAATAAATGTAAATAGGTCCATTTAGGTGAGCCATGATTCAGCAAGAACCGGACGGCTCACTCAGGAGTGATGATACACTGGTCCCACAGATAATCGGTCAGAAACAACGCTTGTTTTCTTTAACAGAGCCTTCTTTTCTTTAACAGAAGTTAAAGTAGAGTAAAAATAGACTTCATATACAAATCATGTTATATCATTCATAACATACAAATCTAATCTACGCGTACCTGAACAGCTCCAAAGCCTTTGGGTCCTAGAAACCTCTCACATTCGTCTGCAATGTCCAGCCACTTCCACTCAAACATCTGCACGATGACGGAGCGGCCAGGCCATTGGTTGGTCTTGATGTAGGCCTCGCATGATAACGCCGCACCAAACAATGAGCAGAAACAAACCCACACTACGAGAGCCATGCTCTGAAAGTTACTAAAATTTAATATTCTATGAAAATAATCGTAAATGGTGCATCATACTAATGATAAACTGATTACTTTTCTTTACTTCTTTCTTCTTCTTTCTTTGTTATCTTCTTCGCACAGACATATTCAGGAATCACAGGTGGAGCTGTGACTGTAACTATGTAACGCCTCTGGTATTGCTAGTGTTCATGGCCATGATCAAATTACATAACATCACGCCTTTTATCCCCAAAGGGTTAGGCAGAGGTATATATTATGCCACTGTACAATGTAACAGCCATTTTTCACAATTTATGTTATGAGTCCCATGTAATATGGGCCTATTGCCATATACCGGGCACAATTTCAGACTATGCTACTACTGAGAATTTATAAAAAAAACCCAGTAATACTATGCCCGCCCCGGGAATCGAACCCGAGACCCCTTGCCCGGCAGTCGCACTTGCGACCACTTGGCCAACGAGGCAGTCAAAATAACAAAAAAATTAAAATGATACAAAGTAAAAATACAACTAATAAATAATATACATATGTCGGTTGAGACAATCAAAACCAAATTTGATATAATATATAGATATTTGATGCGGTTTAAATGCTATAGATAGGTATGTTTATTAATTTAAAGCCATAGTTATGTTTTTATATGCGTGTATACTTACATAGAGGAAAACACCACCGTTCACCAGGAATTTTAACTCGACAATGTAGTTTCGAATCAAAACACTTAATAAACAAATAGGAAACTACTTCAATGACAATAAAGCACGACACTTCACATTATGTACAAGTGAATAGGCATGTAGTTATATGTGTGTTATTTACAGGCCTTTGCATAACAATTTGTTTACAATAACAAGATTAATGGAAAGTTCTGGAAATACAATTCAATAATCGCTTACCATCAGATGATCCGTTTGCTCGTTTGCCTACTACACTATAAAAAAAACAACAAGAAAATCGAGAAAATCTTGTTAAAGGAATAAGATTTTCTCGCAGATGCATTTATGAACCAAAAACTCAGCCAGTGTTATTAACAAATAATGTAGGTAGTACAAACCACTCTCAGATCTAAAACAACAATTTGTGAATCATACCAAAAGTATTGTCATGTGAGGTGATCAACCCATCACACTTTAAATGTGTGTACCTAAATAATGAATTGATATAATTGACATTAGAGATGATTAAACAATAACACTAACCATGATATATCATATAACACTGAGATAATTAAGTATAATTATAGTACCTATTTACATATATATTCAAACAGTCATGTACGCAGGCAAAATTTTATTATAAAATTGTCCCTACAATTCGGTGATCTGAATGCTTAGATAAGTGCCAAAACATAACATAACATCACGCCTTTTTATCCCCAAAGAGGTAGGCAGAGGTGCAATGGCACTTAATGCCACTATACAATGTAACACCCACTTTCTACTATTTATGTTATGAGTCCCATGTAATAGGGTGTCAACCAGTAATACCTTGCCCACTCGGGATTCACACTTGCGACCACTCGGCCAACGAGGCAGTGAATCAATACATGTAATCTATATCACGTTGATTTTACTGCTCTTCTTTAAAAGTTAACCTATAACCGATGATGAGTAGTCACACAGGCGTCACGCGTTTTCCAAATTACTGGAATTAACTACTTCCCTATGTTTGTCGCGATCCTGCATCTTAGTAGCTTTAGTTTTAGCGTTAAAACGACTATAGAAGAAGGTATTTGTGTTATCGGCCGTTTAAGTACGTTTTCTAAAAAAGGTTACTTTGTGGGAAAACAATTAGACAATATTTAAAACAGAGGGATTGACCTCAAGCTGCCCTCTTTGGGTGATAGTAGGTACGTATCTACTTAGTTAAACCCATTCTTACATTTCAGATTCGATTTATTATATTTATGTCATAAATGCTCTGACTGAGAAACTAACATCTAAACAAGCTTTCTAATTCTGAGCCATGAATATTTGGTCTGAACACTCAATCGGGCTAAAACTCTTATTTTAATTACAACAATTTATTACTCATTTTAGTCCAACAAGTTAAAGAAAATCATCTTTTTCTCTGACTTCTCGTCGTTTAAATATAATTTATTTTAGAAGTATAGTTACTTTTATTTCTAATTCTGCCCAAAAATGTTTTGTTTTTATAAATTTAATGCCCGAATACTGAAACACGCCTCAATTTTAAGTTACGCTCTGTTACTACAAGTTCTTTGTATAATGACAGAGACGCACGATATTTAAGTTAACTTAAAATTGAGTAGCCTTTCAGTATTCGAGTGTAAGCCTTTCACGTTCAATATCACGGAGTGATTAATTAAAACACAACAGAGTTCTTATTTATAAGCTTTATTAATTTAATAAATAATATGAAATAGTTATTCTATTTGCAATTTCATTCTGAAGAATCCCAGTTTCTTCATTACATCCGCTACTAGAATCTTCTAACGCGAACTTATTATTGGCTGAAAAAAGACTATTAAAAGATTATTTTAGAAGAAAAGATCATGAAATATTAAAAATAATTTTGGGAATACAAAATTCCGGAGAGGTAGATACCTCATCTCCAACATGTATAGCAAGATGCAGTTCTTCTCCGGTTCCAGATAATGTGATGACTGCTGCCCCAGTACTAGACACGGTCACATTCTTCCCAGTACAAACACTTCCTTCCTTCTGACCAGATATTATGTCACAGTATACACCAGCTGGAAGTCCAGTCTGTGAACAAATCATTTTTAGCTTATCAGTACCCTAAAACAAATCTTTTAGTTACTTGCTCCAAACAAGTTACCTGGAGCTCTTCGTTTAACTCGCTTTTCTCTGTATTGAACACAATAAATCCTTTCCTTCTCAAACCAAAAGCAATCTGATTGTTGCCATTTGTCCACCAGTTTGTTAATGCGGCGTTGTGTACTTCGTTCCTGAATCTAACCATCCTGTATACGGATGGCCATCGATGTTCACATACCCATCCTTCATCACAGGAACCATCCTGGTTGAGAGAAAAAGAAACATCTTGAAGTTAAACGGTCGAGAACGTGATATTTATTACGTTCACTAACGTAGAGCTAAAACTCGCCCAGGTACTAAAAGTCTAAAGAGCGTCCTAGGCAAACCCTAATGTTTTTGGTACCACCGCCACTGTGTTTTCAGTCGGACCCATGCATCTAGCGATACCCCACTGTATTCAGGCGCCCTAGGCACTTGCCTAGTCTACCCCAGTGATAATACGGCACTGCCAAAAGTAAAAGTCTACCAATTACTCTTCTCAGCATCACCCAAAGGTCAGACTGGGAGAAAATGTGTGGGAGAGCCATGCTTCGGCACGAATGGGCCGGCTCGACCGGAGTGATACAACGGCCTCAGAGAAAACCGACGTGAAGCAACGCTTGCGTTGTGTTTCGTCGTGTGAGTGAAGTTCCCAGAGGCCTAATTACCCTCCCCTTCCCCAATCTCCCCAATTCCTGAATTCCCAACGATTCTCAAACTCATAATCCCCAAAAAGCCGGTAACGCACTTGTAACGCCTCTGGTGTCCCAAGTGTCCATGGGCGACGACGATTGCTTACCATCAGGTGATCCGTCTGCTCGTTTACCGGCTTATGCCATTAAAAAATCCCTGCAGCATTAAGTCCACCTATTGAACACTTTGTGCATGAAGCATTTTAATTAAATAAATAAAAATAAAGAGAAACTAGAAATGTTAAGAGCTAGGAGACGAAAAAATTACGCGTACCTCGTTAATAAAAGGAGACACAATATTTTCTTCATTATCAGCTGGTGGACCTTGATCAAAATAATCGAAAGAAAAGCTGCTTGTCATTCGAGGTTGTCCATACGGATGTGCTAGAAGAAATGCTATTGCAGCCTGTAAAACAAAACGGCATCATTAAATATTGTTGACAAGATTATGACTTCTCCAAAATTTCGATTTGTTTGATTTACCTTATACAAAGTTTCATTTTTGTAAGTCAGTATAAAGCCATTGCGTTGCGTATCGTGGTTATCAACGAATATCACAGCGTTATCACTGGGCATCATATCCAGTGCCGTTGTTCCCCACGATTCTAAAGTTTTCAAAGGTTTCCGACCACTGAATATTAGTGCTAGTTCAGCACCAGCCTAGAACGAAAATAAGATCTTTGCTGACTTAACTGCATTTTGGCATGGATTCTGTCTCAGATAATAATGATATGCAATCTGCTAAACAAAATAATATTTATCGAATTATTATGGAGTTATGACTGTGTGAATAAGTATAAAATTTAATGTCGCCAAATGAGATGACCAACGAATTTATTAGAGCTTCATGCACGATTATGCCAGTGTAGTTAATGAAAATAATTTGTTCATGAATCAACTATTAGTGCTGCATAATCATCAAATTCCTTTCTTTAACTACATTTTCAGATTTAGTTGTAAAATTTGTATAAAGTTTAAATGTTTGAAAAGATGTCTGAACCCAAATATGTGCAAAATGCCTTTTGAATATACCTGATTCAGCGAAAATCTTGATATAACAATTTGGGTAAAGTGCTAAGTAATCGGGACCTAATTCACGGTATTTTGGTAATTGTTCAAAGTTTATCAGATTAAGGAAAAGTTAGATAATTTAGGGACGATTTCCAAGAGTAGAAAATTCTTGGGGTTAAACAGGATTGTTAATCACAATTTCTATTGAAAATATAAGCATGGTTAAGACGTTACTTGGAAAACCCATAAAAATGTTTCGCAATGGTATCTTGTAGATAGCTTTAGTCTTTATCAGATTGAGAATAGGCTTCAAAAAAGAAATCAATTGTAGTGTTTAAGGTACTTGTCCCAAATCTGGCGTCGTACTGCGACGTCCAGTCGGATGATCAAACATCGATTTGGCGTGAATCGAGGTAAAGCGTGAAGCTCAGAACCGATCTAGATAGAAAATATTTACGAACGCACTGTACTCTAACTAGAGAAATACGACTTTAAGTCAAGTATGACAAAGTCTCAAATCAGAGAGGACCATCGTACATTTTATACTTACAGTAAATTCCGTAACGTCTCCCATATTTTTATACTCGTTGTAGGTGACAACACCATCTTTAGCTACTTCCTGGTAAATGTATGGTCTAGAGTTCCTTCGGAATCCATGATTCATGTTCAAATTGTTGAGACGTTTGTAAATCTCATTCAAGTCCTCTGGCCACATGTGCTTGGCTGCGTCCACTCTGAGTGAACAAAATTTGAATTAAGTCTTCTCATCAAGGGCCTCTTTCACAATATTCGGTTATAGCAAACTTTGCATAAAAATTAACCATAAATTAGCCTAATGCAAACTATGAAGGCTATGTCCTAAGTATATACTTATACTTAAGTATATGATATCATAATACGCAGTTATTTTCACCTAATGCCAGCAGCACCAAGATCAATTAGTTTGTTCAAGTATTCCGTGATCTTTTGACGAACGTAGGGGTTTGTCTGATTCAAATCTTGTAATCCACCCAATTGACAAACTCGAACCTGTTGAAGAGAAAAAGATTAATCAAAGAAATGAGGACATACTTCTTCATTTAAATATAACCTTCTAATGGGTGTTTTATCAACCAACTCTAAACCATGTATTTACTAAAAGTAACGTAGCGTGACGAACTAAACTAACCCCTTAGGTACTTGTATAAAGTTCAGTGTCACTTATAGGTTTGAGAAAATCAACATATCGTTCAATGTCAACATATCTTGGCGTACGGGTCCCTTAAAATTTAAAAGAGGTTGATGAAAACGGGCATTAAACGTTATACACGTTTAGTGCCCTATGACATATCTTAAAGACAGGAATTTTGAGCTACGATAATTTCAGTTGTGCATTATATTAATATTATGAAATCGATGAAGATAAAACCCAAACCTTACTAACCTCAGTAGCATTAGTATAATCAGTAACTTCACATACAGGAAAATTGAAGTGTTCTTTTGTATATGGCACACCTGGGTAAGAATATGTATCAGGATCAGCTGTGCTACCTCCAGTACCCATACTGTCGTTGTGAGGTATCGTCATATGGTTGAATACCACATCCACATATATTCTAAAAAAAATATATAATTTTGTGAGTTTTCTTCATTTGGTCTTAAGGAACGCTTCATAAGCCGAAATTTTAAAGAAAACTTGATTTCATTAGCTTTTTTTTGAGCCAAAGTAGGTTTATATCAAAGTTTTTCAAAATCGTCTTTTTCTGCTTCCTCATTCACATTTTCTTTAACGTGCATACATGTTCCGATATTGACCTCACTGGTATGCAATCAAGTATTATTACACCTATTCATATTTTTATCTTCATCGTCATGAAATGCTTGCGCAGTATTATATATTCTCTTCATAATTATCGTGTGCATGTTTTAGCCCATGGTGTACGAGGTTTGCCTTGTCATTGCAGCTGTTGCAAGCTACAGGTAACTAACCTACACACCACAAACGTCATCAATTTTTTCTATACATATTATTTATTTATCTTTTTAATTACTATTGTGTAAGGCTGGTAGATAATTGAGATAAGCGTCACTCATGATAATTGCTAAGTAGACTTCGCTACTGTTATCATTCCAATTAGTGAGTCAGAAAATTAAGTGCATCATGCAGAATTAAAGATATAGTAAGTAATTATGTGACGTCAGTTTAGGTAAATTATCATTTGTGTTGTTAAGAGCTCGTATGGCGCATGACTTAGCTACAAATGAGACTGTTTTAATATAGATAGGTATCTTGTGTGACGTGTGCATATTCCTATCTTAAAAAACATAAGTGACATAATCCTGTTTCCTTTCAAAAGGTCAAGTATGGGTCATGATAGTTATTTTACGTTTACTAACAACCACGTTCCTAAGATTTCGCTCGTATGATCATTTCGCAATCATCAACAGCTCCTGGCAGACCACTGCTGAACTACATAATGAAAGAATTTACTGTTGGGTCAGAAAGGTTCATCAGAGAGCGCTAATGTTCGGTCTGTGTCAAATGTTCTAAGTGTGGGAGAGCCATGTTTCGGCACGAATGGGACGGCTCAACCAGAGTGATACCACGGCCTCACAGAAGACCGTCGTGTGAGTGAGATTACCGGAGGCTCAATAAATTAAACAACCCCTTCCCTAATCCCTGATTCCTCAACGATCCTCTAACTCCTAATGGAAAGGCCAAAAAGCCGGTACCGTTACCGGCCTTTTGGCGTTAAAAGTGCATACTTGTAACGCCTCTGGTGTTCCAGGTGTCCATGGGCAACTCCGATTGCTTACCATTAGGTGATCCGTCTGCTCGTTTACCGGCTTATGCCATAAAAAATGGGTAGTCTCCTTAGCAGGTTCTAACGACGCGAGACACCCGAGAGCAGTATAGGGACAGTAAAGAAGCAGTCTACTATACACTATTTTAGTAGGTACCTAGTGACTAGTAGGTATACTTGAGAATTCTTCTTTCACAGTTATATTTGGTCTAGGTATTTAAGATATTATTCAATATAGTAAGCTGGTTCATAATTATCATGATGACGATATAGATAATAGCAAGGTTGACCGGATAGGGTGCGCCGATGCATTGATTACAAGTCTACTTCAGAATTTTCTGGTAACAGGAAATATGACAAACAATACCTTGTCCCTAAGTAATACAATCTGCATCATGAAATAAAAATAAGTACGATAAAGTTAAAGAGTTAAAGAGTAACTGACAAGATACAATCAAAGTTACATGTCCAATTATACCTACTAAAATTCTTCTAAACCTCTACGACGAGAGAAAGTGCATACGACATGTGGTAAAAGCAAATACTAAATAAATTTTTGCAATCCCTCCTCCTAGTGTCAACATTAAGGGGCTGAATGTAATATTGCTGCAGTTCATCTGGTAGGTTCCTAAATAGAAGTTCCAGATGTCCAATCCGGTGTTTGATTGTGCTATCGTTTTCGGATTGCTCAAGTCTTATTAAACAGTCCCAAGATGGTGCCCAACACACTGATGAAACCCCTGTTGTAATTAAGTTGCAGTGATCGCTTACTATCAAGGAAACCTCAAGCTATGTCACTATTAATAGTTAAAATAATGGGACGGTTGAAATCTTACCTGACTCCAACTTTATTGCATCTTGTAGTCATATTCAAGAAGTCAGCTGCATCCCCTGATCGGGTAACCAGATTGTACGACATCACTTGGTAGCGTTCATACCAAGGTCTTATACCACCATCTAGGTTTAAAATCAAATTCTCTGATGCTGGCGAAGTCTGTTAATCAAAAACTTTAAGCAGGTAAATAGCGTATCACATTGCCACAAAAATTTAATAATCAGTACCAAAAACAACAAATGATAAACCTATCTAAATGAGTCAATTAAATTCCTAAATTAATGTTCCCCGATGAAAAAGGAGGAGAACAGCCCTTAGGTAGGTTTTAATGGGACAAGCCCGCTACAGCCACCTAAAACCGTTGCAACTCCTGTAAGCCAGGATCTACAGTAGATACAACCTGGGAAACACCGGAACACTAAAGTCTGGCGCGTCCTAGGGACATGAATAACTGTCTTGGATCTCGCAACGAAATCAATCAAAAGATATTAATATAGAAGAAAAAAAACGATAGATTTGACTTCCCTCAGTGAATTTATGCATGAGACAGGATGACTTGATTAGGTAGGACAATACATAGCGTGCCGAGGCCAACACGATTCCGTGTTCCATATTGTGTGTGTAATAATGTCGAAAATCGTAACACTCAATATTCCTTTACCTACCCCAGAAATAAAACCCAATAGGTACAACCAAAATTAATTAGAGATATTAATTTCGACGTATTTATTTTAACTTTATTTTATTCTTTCTTGTAATATTTTGCACCCCTACCTGAACAGCCCCAAAGCCTTTGGGTCCTAGAAACCTCTCACATTCGTCTGCAATGTCGAGCCACTTCCACTCAAACATCTGCACGATGACGGAGCGGCCAGGCCATTGGTTGGTCTTGATGTAGGCCTCGCATGATAACGCCGCACCAAATAATGAGCAGAAACAAACCCACACTAGGAGAGCCATGCTCTGGAATTCTTTTGAATCTGGAAAACGTTAAATATGTAATAACCTGTTGAACTTTGGACTCCCGGGCATCTCGTAAAATTGTGACCAATCACAGAACGACGGGTAGTTACACCCTCTAAACCTTTTCAACGACATTTTTGGCTATTTTTTTTAAGGGGGAAAAATCATCGAATAACTGCTCCCGCCTAGGTGAGGCGGGAGGGAGTGTCAGACTCTTACTGACTAAAAACCACCCCGCCTTCCTTCCGCCGTCCTTCAGCCGACAAATAAGACATACCCAGCATGCCACTATCGGCTAATGTAGATACCAGTTCTGTAACGGTGGATAAACGGGTCAGAGCCCATTCGTCCCCTAAGATTCGCACCCTGTGCCCACTCGTCCCCTGAAACTTTTGAGGGGCCTATTCGTCCCCTGAAGAATATTTATTTTTATTCGTTCTTCTAATATAAGTACATGTATATATGTATACTGCAGCTTGGTAGTCCTGGTACAGTCGCGCAGAAAAGGGTAAAATAAAAAAATATAGTAATTTGGTAGATATCATGTTTATTTTAAATAAGTTTTTTTTTAAATTTAATAATATAATTTTTTTATTAATTAAAATTTAAATTAATTAAAATTTACATTTAAATTAATAAAAAAAAAAAATTTTTTTTTTTTAAATTATACTCCACATTGAACTAATACGAAAAACAAAATACAAGATCATAATAACATCCACAAATATGATAAAATTATAATTGCGGATAACAAATTGCTACTTATACATATTTAGGAGTAAATAATGTAGTCAAAATATAACTGTAGTATTCCAATATAAAGTAAATTACCGTCAAATAATAATACTAATCATATTCCAGGATTCAAATGAGATAATTCGATTCAATTATGTTAAAAATATTATTATTATAATATTAACAATATTGTTTATTTCGTTAGGCGAACATCATTTAATATAAAAAAGACCAAAGACACATTGAAGTCTCGTATTCGTAGTCACTTTCAAGAACCAATATGTCACCGAGGCAGCCATAACATACAAATAAAACACCTTATCAATTTTGTACCCCGTTTTTTAAAAAGCCATTCGTAGAGAGACAATATTGCATCGTAGGCCTATCGACAGGTTATATTATTATCAATCATCATAGCTCTTTTTTCAATGATCTGTTATGATTTATTAAACTAATTCCGTTAATAAACTGTTCACAAGTGTACTATGTTAACCGTTTCTTGTGTAAAATTTAGCTTATTTTATCTCAGGGGACCAATAGGCACCTGAATAGGTGCCGAATCTTTAACTTATTATGTATTATATTAGAGGGGACGAATGGGTACCTTAAAAATAATATTTTTTTATTAAATATTAATTGGTCCCCTACCAGGAGACCAATGGGCACCTATATAGGGGCCGAATCCACAACTTTTATGCTGGGGGACGAATTTTAGGGGACGAATGGGCTCTGACCCGGATAAACTCAAAATATTTTAGAAACACTAGAAAAATGATTTTTTCTTAGAAAAGAATAAAAATTTTACTTACATGACGTGATGTGTAAACACTACTGTTCAAACTGAGTACTTAAACACAACAATGGTCTTCCAGATCAAACCACTCAACATTATTTGTAAGTAGGTACATAGTATCTACATAGTAGCAAACCACATAATTATGTAACACATTTGTATAAAGACCAGTGGCGATTAAATTGCATAATGAACCAACGTAGATACGAATAAAATTTATTAATTTCGCGCCTGACATAAAACCTTCTTTAAGTAAAAATGTTTGGAATTATACAATTGATGCAGTCTAAAAGAAAACTTTATAAATATACGAAAATGATACATATGTGCACACAGTATGTCTGATAGATAGACCGAGGATTTTGAGTGAGGTCGGCCTCATTCAAAATTACTCAATAGGTAATATGTTTTGAATTCAATGATAATAATAATATTTGCTTTTCAAGCCTATAGAATCAGTAAATGTTTACAAACATCTTTTAATACTATGTTGACGTTATCTCCTTACATTCGTTCATCGTCATAGTCAGTGAGAAGACGTCCATTGCTAAACAAAATTCGTGTAGAGATCTTCTGCGAGGGATTGCTTCACGCTCGGCATATGAATAAGTAACGTGCACAATTATCCGAACAATCTGAACTTCGGCATTCGATGATCCGAATCCGAATTCTGATGATCCGAACAATCTGAACTTCGGTATTGTATAGTGACACCAACGTTTTTTGAAAGTATTTGTAATTTGGGATAAGTGTTTAGCTATCGGCAAAGTTTTTAAACTAAATATGTGAAATGCTCGGTATCCACCGGGTTTTCTTGTGGTCGTTCGCGCCTTCGCGCCCAGTGCATGCGAATATCGCCTAATGATGGTCTACCACCAAATTTATCGATTGTACATACATTTCGATTCATTTTATAATTGCCGAATGGTAATACAGAGAATAATCGCTCGACATCCAGCTGTATTAGAAAAACAGGTTCAACATTGATACCTACAATTGCTAATCTGAAATAACATTTTGTGCAAAATATACTTCATACACAGAGCAAGGTAAAATAACTAGTATAAGAATTATACTTAGATCCTATCCTTTTAAAGCCAAGACAATACCCTCTTTAGTTGAAGGGCAACAGGAATTAATACTATCACTACCTATTCTTTAGGTACTAATTCAAGTAGCACTTGGGGGAAAGTGCTACTGTAGGTACTTCCCTCTTATCCTTTCAAGTGTATTACTTCTTTAACATAATGTAATTATTATGATTTATATCTTGAAGACTATAAAACTGCTTTCTTATGTAATAATTTCAAGACGATTAATGTAAAATGCCATTATCCAAAATATAATTTATGAAATCAACCGAAAATCGTGAGCTATCGCGCAGCCTAGTAGACTGCCTAGTATCGAGGCGACCGCGCACGCTACTCATGAGGAAGAACTCCGCTGTGGTTCGAAACTAGTAGAGCATTTGTCAGTATTTTCACGTGAGTAATCCGCGATTTTTAGTTAATTTAGTATGTCTCACGATAGTTATTATAAAAATATAATTTATGACATAGAAAACGAAATACTCTTAAAATACCTAAGCACAAGTGCTTAGGGCGGATTGGCGATTTCAGACTTGATGTCTAATTCGATGATTTCATCCACTGGCACTGTGTCAGTTGTTTGTAAACAAACTTTTACGTAGGTACATAATATAACTAGGAAATATTGTCATTGTTGACTACTTGGCATATTTTAGGGTACGTGGAAACGATAAAATAAAACCATTAACGTACATACATTTATCAGTTTTATTAAGAAAACAAATAGCATTATTACATTCCATCAAATCTATTACAATCTTAAACTATGACTGAAATTATGGACTTGCGACATAGCATCGATTCCCTCCATAAAACATTAAAGGGCGAGAATCTCGACGCATACTGTGGCATTAAATGAAAGCTAAATAATAGTATAACTTAAATAGTAATAATCTAAAGCTAATCAGAAAACACTAAGAATATTCATTCAGATACTAAAAAAATGTGTAGACAACGGAAAATCAAACCTATAAACCTAAACTATAACAATTTCAGACATTTTAATTCACAAAACCCCTTTTTTTATTAGCCGGTAAATGAGCAGACGTATCACCTGATGGTAAGCAATCGGCGTCGCCCATGGACACCTGGATGGCGGCCTTTTGAGCAGGAGGAATTTGAGGAATGTTGGAGATTCAAAGATTGGGGTAATTGGGCGTTTTTTCATTTTGTAATCAATTCACTTTGAAGTGCCGTTGTCTATACGTATTAATTCACACTTGATTTTTTTTTAATCAAAGTGACTTTGAACTTATATATGAAGTAAAGTACTTACTAAGTTAAGTTTACTTTATGTTCATGATAGTAAACTGAAATTGTTTATTGTTTGCATTCGATAAAAAAACTTCAAACAATATAAGGTACTACATGTTCTTGCGTATGATATAACAAAACATAAAGTTTAAGTCTGAAGGCTTAGTACTAAGTTTACGTTCAACGAGATCGGAACGTTACTGCGTCCGACGCTCTGATTGGTTGGCTCATTGGAGCGGGCCAATCAGGTGGGGTATTATGACGTCTTAACCTTTAGAATGCACCGATATGAGAGACAACAGAAAATACATTGTGTCTCGCGTGGATCCACGTATTAGACACACGAAAGGTTAAAGCCAGAGTGTTTCCGTTGAGGGTGCGAGATGTCGCTAGACGACTTGTATAGCTCTGTTTCTTTTTCCTCAATGGAACCATTATGACCTTAGGACGTCGTAATAACACCGCAGAGCGTCTTCAAACTCGCACTAAGCCCTCAGAATAGAATACTACACTAGTACAAGTTTCAGTCATCTTAGACAAATATACATATCAATTAATCTTACTTAACTATAAATGTGAAATATGCAAAAATATCTAAATATCATTTCGTTTCATGTAAACATTTATAAAATATTTCTGATATAAGTATTATGCTAAGATCGCAATATCGCATGTCAACCTAAGACAATTCGTCAAAAATTTAAACACATTTTAGACTCTATGATGAATTAATAAAGTTGCAAATGCAATTTTCAAAAATGGTATTAAGTTGACCTGCTGGCTTCAGTATATAAATAGCAGTAAATATAAGAAGGATGTAAGAGATAATGGATTCATATTATTGTAATAATACTTTTAGATGGAAATTAGGACCTTACTCCCGAATACTGAAAGGCTACTCAATTTTAAATTGTACTTAAATATCGTGCGATCTCTGTCGTTCTACAAAGGATTTGTAGTGACAGAAGTATACTTAAGCACGACTTAAATTGAATAGCGTTTGAGTATTGGATATTACCTTACCTTGTACGTATCGTAGTGATGTAAATATACTGTGTAATTTAGTTTACAAATAATTACTAGTTTCATTGTATTATGTTTTCATATAACATCGTAATCAATGCAACCTACTCCATTGTGTAAATTTTTGCCATTGAATTTTCAACTTTGTATGTAAACGATAGAGTGTAGGTTGACCTGGTACCTGCTACAACATTAGACTAACAATTTTAAAGAATAAAAATACTAAGCACACTACCTGTTTCAAGTGTAAATATTCTCCTTTTAAATAACAAGATCCTGTTTACCATCCATTATCAAATACACAAATGTTTTGAGGAAACAATTAATATGTAATTACGTAAAGAATGCAAAAGTTAACATATCAATGAATACACGGCAAAGTAATTAAGATTATCTCCTACATCCTTTGCAATCTTAATAATAATATATAATGTCATTATAAACAGATTTATTTAAGTTAAGGCTATTATCGTAATTGATATCAAAATTGACAAAATATGTTGTTATGGACCTAACGTACGTACAACAAGGGTAAGCAATACTTAGTATAAAAGCTACCTATGTATGCAAATATTCAGTATTTAATGCCGCGTACACATGCTTGGCAAACAATAGTAAACAGCAAAAAAGAGCATGTAGATTAGTATTTGTTTGTCTTCGCCTCTGAGGGCCAAGCACGAATAACTATCGCATTCGTATCGTAACAGTATCGAGCGAGTTAAGCGTTCTGATTGGTTGGTTCACTTGACCCGGCCAATCAGAGCGCCGAACGCGCTCGATACTATTACGTTACGAATGCGATAGTTATTCGTGCTTGGCACTCTGTTCGATACCGATACCGAACAGTGACGAACACAAAGACCAATGGCTGTTCGGCAACATATAGTGATGTTTGGGACTTTATTTGTTGTTTTTTGTATTTGTTGCAAACATCAAGAGTGTGTACGGGGCATTATATTAAATTATTATTAAAAATGTCTTTATTCGTTGTTATATTATTTAAGTTCGTAGGTCTTTTATATCCCCAAAGGAGGGGTAGGAGTACAAAGAAATGTAACACCTATTCTTTGCTTCTTAGAATTATTGTTAAGTCTCATGTAATAAGAAACAAAATCGTACATTAGACAAATTCGAGATCATCATACAAAAAGTATGATAGTCATTTTTAGGTATTTTAGTTTCTCAGTTCAGGTATTAAAGATCAAAATCGAAATTGCTGATTGTCGATATTAAAGTATGCATGAGTCACTAAATAATATCTTAGGTACATAAATATACTTTTAATAAAGTATTAACTACATTAGCACATAAACTTTAAGATTCAATTTGCCTTATCTCATACTAAAAAGCATACAAATTCGACGCAAAATACTTTCAATTAGGTGACTAATACCTAATTCGCTTCGATTAAATCATACTAAATAAATAATATTTTCGAAGCCATAGAGTACTCTCATTTCATATTCTGATGTTAAGAAAAGTTAACATGTGGAATAGCGGCCGGGAGAGGGTGCTTAGTATCAGCCCGACCAATAAATTCAGACCTGTAAGTACGATCAAAGGTCAAAAGTCCGTAAGACTACTATCGGTTGCGCTGCAGCGCTTATACGCACATACGCACGCATATTTTTATCCGTGCGCGTACGCGTTTTTATGCACATTCACATGAAATTACTTACGCATTGCCGTGTGAACATCACTCACGGTAGCAGTGGACTTTTGACCATTGACTGTACATTTAAACGGTCTATCCAGACTCAAACAAAAATTGTGATCTCAATATCAGAATCCATGCAATCTATCCTCACATACTTTACTTGACAAGTCCTCAATATATTATTTGTAACGGACTAACTTGAGATTTGTTCCTCTTCCTAACATGTTATAACAAATTATATTCAAACTCTACTTTAAACATATGTTATATAGCTGCTATGTTAGAAAGCTATCTTTTGTGTGATCACTAGATGGGTATCATGTAGTTTTAAGTCCCACACCAATATTTGCTTATCAGCTGATATTTTATAGGCAAGAACATTTTTCTATTAACACATTAAACGTAATGGGGGTCACCGTGAACAACGTCTGTGGAGGATTTGCGTCCAGCAGTTTTCTATTAGCAGTCAGAAATACAATTGTAACTATAATGAGCATCCCAAGATAATATGCAATGTATCCTAGGGGATACTATGACAAGTGTTTCTATAAAGTTAAAATAATAATGTTTCTTCTGTATGTTTTAAAATTGTGATTCTTTAAAGGTGTTTGGACCAAATAAATAGTATAAGTAAACTATAGATTTAGATCTTAAGGTCATACTTTTGACTTACTGTTGTCCTTATAAAAATGCATCATCAATATTAGCTGTTTTTTTTTAATTATTTTTACAATTTAGTCAGTCTTTTTATATAGTAAGAATGTTTCAAGCCAAAATAATAGATCTTAGTCAGTTCATAGTTAGTTAGTGATAAATTATGATATTATCGGTATATTTACTCTACGGAATCAAGGCGGAGTATCAGATAATTTGATGTTAGATAGATAAAATATATCAGTTAAAATAGATATAGTTTCAAAAAATATTGTGAAATATTTGTCTTATTATTTATTATCTGCTTAGAAACGCGATAACTTGTGTACAAATTTCACAGTCAATTAGATCGTAATTATTGTTAGGTAAATACAATTTATTATCTTTTACGCATAAAATGCGCGAATTTGATATTGTTATGAAGCTCAGTGACTTTCGTTTTACCAATAGAGATCAATATCCAACACAATACCTACAATACAATACAAATCATTACGCAAGTCTACAAATACACAAAAATAATTACGACGACCAAACATAAGTTCAATGACATACACATACACATAAAAGCAATTTCATTTATCATCAACAGCCTATATACTAACAAACAAACAAACAAAAAATACAGTACAAACATGTCTTTTATAAGTCAGTTTTACGAGTAGGTCCATTCACATGAAGCAGCATTTATTTTTAATAACTTCTCTACTTGATATATAATATCTTGAGGGTGGTATTATAAGATTCGTGAGACGGGAGACATATTAAATTAATTTACGTATGTAACTACGTGCGAGACGTTTGAAGCGTCGTGTGATGCGCATTGTGATGCGCAATGCTGCTTATGAATATGAACCGCTAAAGTAATATGAAACTATTCCAGTTATCTAACCACGCGAGACGATCTCCGGCCACCGTAAGCACGAGCCTGAGGATGGCGAGCACGGGTCACTCGCCACCCGATCAGAGGCCTTAGTCGCTAGCTCCAATGAACCAACCAATTGGAGTGACGAACGCGGTCTCGTTTCGACTACTATTAATATAAAACAAACTCGTACAAGGCCTCAGAACCTAGCGTACCTGGGCCCAATATGGCTGATGAGAAATCATTGGACAATTTTCATCACTCAAAAAAAAGTTATTTCCCCAAACAGTTACACGAGTAAGCTGTTAAACATAATAAATTAATCTTAGGGCTTGTATAGACAACACAGAAGAGTGGCAAATTATTGGCGGCAACCCTTAATATATCGGTTGATATATGTTTTTTTACAGGGTAAGCGTGCAAATAAGGAGACGGATGTCCTAATTGTAAGAAAACAACGTTTACTATGGACACTCGTACCATCAGATGAGTTACAAGTGCGTTGTCGGCCTTTAGGAGAGTAGGGGTTTGGGACTCCGGCTATTGCACTCACACATCGTAACGACGCAAATCTACATAACAAATTGAGTGATACTCATATTTACCTAGGTATGGGAGAACTTAGATCGACAAAATCACTAGATTAAGGATTCTCCATAATATAATGATCCAGCCATCATTATCATTTGAGTTTAAGACTTTCTACCACCATAACGTAGTACTGCCTAAAAAAATATTTTTGAACAATTTCATGAAAGAAATAGCTTACATGTGAATGAACCTTTGTTATAATTTCTAAGTCTAAATCTATTCTAAACTAGGCGCTAAGAATAGTGGGTTTGGTGCCGTGTTTAAGTTGGCTGATTGGAAGGAACGCTTTATGCTTACGTGTGGGTATTGCTCACGCCATTCCACTACCTGGAATATAAGAAAATATTATTAGCACAGGTGATATACTCTATTAAAAAATTTTGTCTCTACTTTTGAAGTGCCAAGTAATATGTGTACAATTTGATTCAGAATCGATTACAGATAACCAAGCAAAACAATTGTTAATAAATGACGAAGTTATTCTTGAAAACATTCGAACAGCATTAGTTGATTTAACTATGCTGTAAGGCAAAGAATTCGTATTTTAAACAAAATGACAAACTTACCTGAGCTTCTTGAATTTGATCACAGAAACTGACGTCCAGCAGCCTTAGATCTTTGCATTCAGCTAGGATCCTGTAGAATGATAAAACAACATAATAATATTAAATCTTGTAATAAAATACACAAAAGTCCTACAGAAAATAACTAACTAGCGACATCTGTTGACCATTACATATTTTAAGGAGTAAAATGTGTTGTTCCGAAGATCTTCGAATGTAACTAGGTAAATAATAGCTAGGTAACCCAATAGTTAAACGTTTTTCATGTTAAATCGTACACAAACAATATTTGTAACTCGAACAGATAATCTTCAACTTCAGGTATTATGGATTTAACATGGAGCCATCTAGTAGTTTTTAGTGGCACTTAACATAAAATCACGCCTTTAATTTATCCCCGAAGCGGCAGGCAGACGTGCGTATTACGGCACTTAATGCTAGTGTATGTACAATGTAACACCCACTTTCCACTATTTATGTTATGAGTCCCATGTAATAGGGGGTGAGCCTATATTTACCGGACACAATTCCAGACTCCGTGCTACCAATCGGAATTCTTCCAAAAAGCCCAGTAATACTTTGCCTGACCCGGGAATCGAACCTGCAGTCAACATGCGGTAATACGTGTTGTTTGATGATTAGAGAAAGTACTTACGAATCGCAAATATCAGCGGTAACTGCTCTGACTCCTAACAGATCTAACTGCGCCAATTTTGGTGCTCTCGGTATTAAGGAGCGAAGGTCTCGGTCGCAGACACCGCGCAGAGCCCCGAGGAATAGTTTTCGAAGCTCGCCGACTGATAACCAGCCTAACCACTCTCCAGAACCGCCTGCTTGTAAGCTGTCAAATAAAATAATGATTTAATAGGACTAGAAATAGGGTTATTAGAAATATAAATGTTTATTTACACATAATTAGGTAATACGTTATTTTTCAGTACTAATATAGCGCTACATCCTGTGTGAGCGATCTAGAAGCAAATCTGGAGCGGTGAGGGCGGCGCCAAAACAACAAATTGTCGAAACCTATTGAAGTGTTCTTCATGACAATACGTCTGTGGTATGCGGTGTGGAGCGGCGCGAAATGGCGCGAAACGCCGTGGACGCGATCAATTGATTTGATATTTTAGCGCGAACTGTCATATTTGAATGCAGTGCTGTCATGTTTTTGTTTGGATACTATGACGGACACAAAAACAAAGCGAAACGATTCGCATGCACGTAGGACAAAGCCGCCGCGTCGCACCGCATCACATTAAATTCCCGTGTCACCGCTTCATAATCGCGTTCGCTTCCTGAGTGCCTAGCACGAATAACTATCGCATTCGTAACGTAATAGTATCGAGCGAGTTAAGCGTTCTGATTGGTTGGTTCACTTGAGCCTTGTAGCGTAAAAGAATCAATTACACGGATCACAAACCGAACAATCAGTTATAATGCTTTATTAAGCAAAAGCTAGTGTTGAGAAGGCAATAATTTTGTAGTAAAACAAATTGTCATAATATGACAATATTATAAGGAAATGTATCTATTTTTGAAGTTACCGTTTTACCGAACTTGATCACTTTAACGATTAAAATAATTAAAAATAAGAGGTTCTCAAACAAAACTGAACATTTTCTCAAACTAAGCGCAATGCAAACTTTCTCAAATAAAAACTTTTACAATAGGGTGAAAAAAAACCACCATAACTCTAAAACATAAATAGGTTTATAACTTACCACCAGCCAACATCCAACTCCTGCAGCATTTTGCAGTTACCTAATGCTCTGATGCCGTTAGGAGTCAAGGAGTACGACTTCCAGAAATCCACAGACACCAAGTTCGGGCAATTACCGCCTAATGCTATCGCCACTTCGTCCATCGATGATATCATTTTGCATGAACCTGGAATTTTATGAAGGTTAAATTATTCATTAATAAAAGCACGCGATTTGCGCAAAAGCAGTATTTTAATTTACATCACATCAACGTCAACCTAGAAGTGCCCACCGGTGAGCAAAGGTTTCTTCTCACACGAAGAAGGTTTGAACATTAATCACCATGGTTGTTGAATGTGGGTTGGCATTGAACCAACGCTTTAAATAAAATTGGTATTATGAATCATAAGTGCATCAATAATAAGGGTCTCATTCACTTTTCTTTAGTCATTTTATTGCTAAGCATTGGGTACCAAAAATTATTAAGAATTTCAAGTGTGAAGTGAGAAGTGTCAACCAATTATATGGCTTAACACCAGGTACAATTCCAGACTACGTACTATTAAGTACCTATTTCTGGCATATCAGACAAACGTGCAGACGAAGATACCCACCACACTAGAGGAGATGCAAATATGTTGCCGGTTGTTGCAGAGGAATAGGGATTGAGCTCTGACCGACTATCATTAAAAGGTTTGCCCACGATAATATAAATCAAAGCTTTAGTCACTCACCAACATTAAGATGACGTAACCCAGGGTTGGATCTGATGATGGCTACGGCAGCTGAAGTAGTTATATCAGTTCTGTATAGATCCAAACGCTTGAGTTTTTTCAAAGCAGACAGGCATATCCAGTCTGAACAGCCAACTACTGATCGGAGGCATAACTCTGGAAATGATTATGTTTTGGTTAGTTTTCGTAGGAGAAATAAAGCAAATGCAAATTATTTAATATATTGTCAATCCCGTGAATAGAGACTGTTTTTTATCAACCAACACCTATTTTTAACAAGAAAATAAAAGTACTACACATAGTTGAGCCTATGTTATTTATTTTTATGGAATGAGACGGCAAACGAGCTGATGGTAAGCGATCGGCGCCGCCCATGGATACACTCAACACCAGACAATATAAGAGATAAGGGATCTGGAGATTGGTGATGGGGACAGAGATTGGGCCTTATTAAAGTCAAATTATCTTGGTCAGGGTAATTAATTGATAGAGCTAGAGAAGTTCACATAAAATTAACCCTATAGACTTATTCATTTAGAATAGATCCGCACGTTATAAATCACCATGGCAACACAATAACAAACTAACCTTGTAAACTCGTGGAGGTGTCAACGATGGCTCTTAGCACGGAGTTGTCAACGAATTTGCAGCAATTCATACGAAGATGTGTTAATTCTGCGCCACTGTCTTTCAGGAAACTGCGGACAAGGTGGTGAAATTAATTAATTTATTTATTTATTTTATTTTATTTTATTTCGGAAACAAACAGTCACATTAAAACAAAACTTATATAAGAAAACAATAGGTTCAAAAAGACTTCGAGTTCCATATAATTTTTAAGTGTAGCATAAGTAACCTACCCACAATTTATTTTAAACAGAATACACAACCTATGTTTGACTGCATGTCAGTCAAACATAGGTTACATTATTTTAAGAGTATGTAATTTAACAAAATATAATGCAATCAAATATCATAGAATTCAATTTATGTAAACATCCTTCTACACTAGAAATATTGTATTATTACTTTTGTGAGACATACTTAACGAATTATTATGTTTAATTGCTGCCCATGAATATGAGCCCCTAACGCGACTTGAAAATAGTCGAGTTCCTCGTCAAAAGGTTACGAAGTCGTTATACCTACATCTAGAATTGTTCCTGTGTTGTGGGTCGTGAAACACACACGAATCAAAAGTACACCCAAGAAGAAATTTAAAAATCACACAAGGAATTGTTTTGAGGTAACTGTCAAGTCACTTTCAAGTTTTAGTTTAACAATTATTTTAATCCCTTTGTCATTGAGTTATTAGCATTCTTTTGAAAATGCAAATCAATAAACAACCTTAAAACTCTTACAATTAGACTGATTATTCAAGTACAAGTACGTGTAGTATTACAATTATTTCAAAACAGTAAATTAAAGAAATAAATTGGCGATGATTGTACTCACTTTACTACATAATTGGGCTGTATCATGCGATGACTCCCGCACCAAGATAAATCTAGTTTTTGAAGGAATTTGCAGCGCATCGATAGAGTTGCCAGCACCTGGAAATAATAGATGGAAGGTATGATTAGCTTTTAAATGGTAGAAAACGTATTACGTGATTTGTTTAAATACTATTCTTCTAAATTTATATTAATATTATAAAACTGAAGTTTGTTTGTTTAAGTTTGAACGCGCTGATCTCTTAAACTACTGGTTGATTTTTTTTATAATAGGTATCGTGAGACATACTAAATTAACTAAAAATCGCGGAGAAAAAGCTCTGCTCAATATCGCCGCGACCGCGACGCTGCTTATGAGGAAGAACCTCTGTGGTTCGAAACTAGTAGAGCTTTTCTCAGTATATTTATGTGAGTAACCCGTGTTTAAAATTATTTTTGTGTTAGTTGGTATATCGAAAAAGTCTCGTTGGAAAGAATCAAAGCAGCGGACAAAACCGCATTAGAGTAGCCAGTGTCAAAATAAGTTCGTTTGTCATCCCATTACCTTTTATCCACTCAACCATCAAAATCAAACTTCTAATCCCCAAAAGGCCCGTAGCGCCTCTGGTGTTCCATGTGACTTTGGGCGACGACGCCGATTGCTTACCATCAGGTGATGCGTCTGCTCGTTTACCGACTTATCCCATAAAAAAACTGAGAAAAATAAGTAAGATAGTCAGTTCTTATCCAAGTATGCTTAAAAACAATCATCTCACCAATCAATTCGCTACACCAATTGATTGATTGTCGAATGTCATGTTTTAGTACAACAAAACTGTATAACATGAGGAGTACAGAAACATGTAAAACATAAACTAATAAGTAACTTGCTGTTTTTTACGGTATGCTATATAGGAAACGGGTTACTGAGGTCATTCAAAGAAACACCATTTGTTTTAAATTTGTTGCTTAAGAATTGTATTGTAAACCTGATAGAAAAAGTAATCTATGGAGTTTCTTGCTCGTTCTTCTCCATAGGAATCCACAACTTGGAATTAGCAAATAGCTTCACTTTTAAATTTTTTGTTGACGTTCAAAAGTGTTTCTGGTCTAATTGAAATAAATCATTTTGACTTGGACTTTGAATTCTCAGTGAGTCTAAACTTGCACAGTGAAGCTTCATTATTAAATATGGCACATCAATACTGTGAAAAGAGATGTAATTCGATCTCTATGGCTAAGCCTATAATTATCTAGCAGTGGACAGAAACGTGCTAACAAAAACGATCTCTTCCATAAAACAAAGTCGAACCATATTCCAGAACAAAAATACTTTATGACTTATAATAAAACGATCATTCAGAAGTCAAAATGTATCGAAGGCTTTATTCAAAATTATTTTATACTGTGAACCAACTATTAAAATATTTAAAACCAGTTTTTAGGGTAAATGACATCTAAACGTGAGTTGAGTAAGACACACGTGAGCGCGAACAATTTGTGGCGCGCTCTAAAACGTTGTAAGGCTACTAACACACTTGATTATTGTTTCACACGTGAGGAAATACAAAATGTCTAAAAACGTATTTATTGGGTAGTTTTCATACTGAACGGGTAGGTCGGGATAATTTTAGTAGGTATATTTGTGCTGAATTATATTTGGATCTACCGATTTATATATATTTGGTAAGGTATTTGTGTATTATTTCCTATTGGAAATTCATCATTAATTTCTTTTTATAGCTGAATTTAATATGCAACAGTCGACGTAAAGACTTAAAAATTCGATAGATATAGTGACTTCTTAGGTTATAAAAACGCGTCGAACAAAACTATCGTAAAACCGGTTTATATTTTTCGTCCAATTTAGTACTAACTTGTTTTAACTGATTTTAAACAACGTGAGTACTATTTTTCAAGTCCGAAAGAAAAGCTAGACAAAATAATATTTTTATTTTTGTCTAACTTTCTGATAACAAAATTTTAAGAAGATTGGTTGAGTAAACAAACTTACGTTCGCATTCTTAGTAATAGTTGGAATATAAAATAGCAAATCAATATGTCATAACAAAGTATCCTATTTATAACTGAATCATCTTCTGCCTACCCCTTCGAGGATAAAAGGCGTAATGTTATGTTATGTCATTTTATCAAGCTCACGTAACAGACCTTATCTGGTTATAAATTAGGTCCAATTCAAAACTTACGTGAATATAATATTACCTAACTTCATCCGGCAACCTTAAACTTGACCGACTTTGACCTCGACGGAACGATTTAATTAACTCAAAATGTAGCTTTACGTAACATTAACATCACCTTGTGTTAATTTCAAAATAAATAAATCTTAACTACTGTCTTGTTGGCCGAGTAATCGTAAGTGTGACTGGCAAGGGGTCTCCGGTTTTTAAAACAAATCTCAGTAGTAGCACGGAGTCTGGAATTGTGCCCGGCATATGCCAATAGAGAAAGAGAAAGTGGGTGTTAATTTGTACAGTGCCATTAAGTGTCATAATGTAGGTACTCCTCTGCCTACCCCGTCGGCGATAAAAAGGCGTAATCTTATGTAAATCGTTACTGTAAAAAAAACACTTCCATGAATAAAAGTCCCAAAACAACAACTAATGTATCACAAATAGGATGTTTCCCCTTACATCAATATTGAAATCAATTTTCTTTCTATTATTTTCATAATATAACCTATTCGTCTTAAAGCTTGACAGAAATGATTCCCTAGGGAGCGCAGTTTGAAAAGGATAGCACAGTTTCGATTCTGTGTTTCATCCACCAGGTGGACCGACGATCTGATTAAGATCACAGGGAATTACTGGATGCAGGTGGACTTCCGACCAGCCTATCTGTAAGTCATTTGAAGAGGCCTATGTTCAGCATCGGACGTCTTACGGCTGATATGATCATGATGATGTATAGTTTTCAAAGATAACTATGCATTGTCGTTTTTAAAACACCAAAGTCTATTTTGCATGAAATGTTTCCTTATAACATAGTCAGGGCCGGATTTTGGGGGGGGGGGGGGGGCAACCGGGGCGAAAGCCCCGGGGCCTCCACAAGCAGGGGGCCTCCACAAGCAGGGGGCCTCCACAATAGAGACTTCGGAAAAAAAAATCTTTCAAATTTCAACTAGTAAACCTAGTAAACATCTTTTCTTTGATATTTTTTTTTTTTTCGCTTTTACCTTTACCTACAGCCTAAAGTACTTTATACATACACTAGCTTTTACCCGCGGCTTCGCTCGCGTCACAAAAAGATAAAACGTAGCCTATGTGACTACCCATCCCTTCACCTACCTTCAGTTGAAAAATCACGTTAAGTACCTCCGTTTTGCCGTTTAAGACAGGCAAACAAACAAACAGCTGTTCGCTTGCGTGGAATTCGGTTATAACGCGCGTTTTAGATTTTTCCGTGGGAATGAGAAATTCTGCCGCGGTAAAGCCTTGCTTTTCCAGGACTCAAACTACCTTTATACCAAATTTCTTCAAAATCGATTCAGCCGCGTGAAAGAACAGAAGAAGTTATTTTCGCATTACCACAAATACCTCCTCCCATTTTAATTTAAAAGACTTCTATTTCCTATAAGGGTTATATTTGCAACGCTAAACCAAAACTGAGTGGTAAACTATATTATACGTTTTATTACCGAAAACCTAACTACTTTAGACATCTACTTAGAAATAAACCACTTCACTAATCTAACCTAACTAATATAGCTACTGTATCAATCAACGTAAACAATGAACAAAGCGTCTTAGAACGACGAAAAAAAATTACTATAGTACTTTAAATACTAAATACTAATATCTACCTAGAAAAAATAACACTTGACTAATCAAACCTACATAGCGAACAAATAATAATAATAATCAATATAGGCGTTAGATGCGTACACTAAAATATAGTTGATACGGAAGCTCGGAACCTATACTTTCGCCGGTAACGAAACCATAGCGCCATCTAACTCGATCCTAACGCCATCTATCGAGCGTTGAAACAACAGCGTACAATATATTTACTAATTGTTGAGTATTGTTGCCACTATGGTTTCGTGTACCTTTAACAACCTAAAATCTATAAAATACGCAACTTAATGTAAAATGGTTGGAACCAAAATTTAAAAGCGAAGAATACTTAAAAAACACATCGCTATTCCACATAGACACCAATTTCGTGTACCTTTAACAACCTAAAATCTATAAAATACCCAATTCAATGTAAAATGGTAGGAATCAAAAATGAAAAGCGATAAAAATACTTAAAAAACACAACGTTACCCCGTTTTACAAACACTCAGCGCACTCTATCGCCAAGTAGCGTAACTACTACATTAGTAGCGTCACTAATTTTGTGTACCTTTAACAACCTAAAATCTATAAAATACGCAATTTAATGTAAAATGGTTAGAACCAAAATTTAAAAGCGAAAAATACTTAAAAAATAGCGTAACTACTACATAGACACCAATTTCATGTACCCTTAACAACCTAAAATCTATAAAATACACAATTCAATGTAAAATGGTAGGAACCAAAATTGAAAAGCGATAAAAGTACTTTAAAAGCACAACGCTACCCCGTTTTATAAACACTCAGCGCCATCTATCGCCAAGTAGCGTAACTACTACACAACGTTACCACGTTGTGTTTTTTAAGTATTTTTACATAAAAATAGCAATTAATGAGTCGAAAAGCGCACTGAATAAGTGTAGATTAACACCAAATAAGCGCTATAGATTAAAGCGTGAAATTTCCAATTAGTAGGTAATTCGTTGAATTGTTTTAGATGGCACAAAGCGCCATCTACAGGAATACACACAGCGCCATCTATACTAATATTTTTGTTTTCCCTCGGGAATATCACATTTTTCCGGGATAAAAAGTACCCTATTATTTAATCTGGACTTCTAACTTTACGTCTGCAAAATTTCAAAGCAATCGGTGTAGTAGTTACGGCGTGAAGGTGGAACAAACAAACAAACAAACAAACTCACTTTCAGATTTATAATATTAGTAAGGATGATTATTTGATTATATTAATTTTAAATATTAACAGAAACAGAAATCATTGACCTATATTTGTTTACTCCAATCAGGCAATCAGTGAAA